ACTACCCATACCCCGACGACCCTGGTCCCACATCGCGGTCGACTTTGTCACTGGACTACCTACCTCTAAAGGTATGACTACCATTCTCACCATCGTCGATCGCTTCTCCAAGGCTTGTCATCTTGTTCCACTCCGTAAATTGCCTACTGCCACCCAGACTGCCATGCTTCTGATTAAACATGTGTTTAAACTCCATGGCATTCCTCAGGAGATCCTCTCAGATCGTGGTCCCCAGTTTGTCTCTCAGGTTTGGCGCCAATTCTGTTCTGCCTTGGAGGCCAAGGTGATGCTCACTTCTGGTTACCATCCTCAAACCAACGGACAGACAGAGCGCATGAATCAAGAACTAGAAGCTACCCTGCGGTGCCTGACCTCCACCAATCCCGACGACTGGGCCCAGTACCTTCCCTGGGTTGAGTATGCGCACAACAGTCACATCTCAGCAGCCACAGGTCTTTCTCCTTTTGAAATAGTGCTGGGTTACCAGCCACCACTCCTGCCTCTGATGAAACGACAATCTCTGTTACATCTGTTCAAACACCACATTCGTAAAAGTGGAAAGATCTGGAAAGACACCATAGATGCGCTCACACCACTGCACGCAATAAACGCCTGGCGGACCGCAGGAGGACTCCTGCTCCTAATACACCATAGGTCAAAAGGTGTGGTTGTGTACACGCAACATCCCCCTCAAGGCGATGTCCAAAAAAGTTGTCTCCAAGTTCATAGGCCCTTTCGAGGTGTCGTCAGTTATCAGCCCATCTGCCGTACGTCTTCGTCTTCCTCTGTCCCTGCGCATTCACCCAACCTTTCATGTGTCCCAGATTAAGCCTGTCCTTTCTAGTGACCTTTGCCCTCCGGCCGAACCCCCTCCTCCCGCCCGTATCGTCGATGGCCATCCAGCCTTCTCCGTTCGCCGGGTCGTCGCCTCCGGCGGCGGGGTCGGGGTTTCCATTACCTCGTTGACTGGGAGGGTTATGGTCCAGAGGAACGCTCCTTGGTGCCTGGATCGTTTATTTTGGATCCCTCCCTCATTAGAGACTTTTTGGACTCCCAGCCCTCCTCTTCTGCTCGGCCGCCCGGGTGGCGTCCATTGAGGGGCGGGGGTACTGTCAGGGTCTGTGTTTTTCTTTTGTTTCTTTTTGTTTTTCCTTTTTTTTCTGTTGTGTCTCCCTGGAGCACCTGCTGCTTCCAATGGCATCCACCAGGTGCCGCAAGGATGCAGAGCCCCTGGAGTTGTGCCATGTCAACCCCGTCGACACACCTGCAGCTTGTTCGGAGGGCTCAGCCTGGGTGTTTATAGGACGGCGGAACGACTCCTCTCCGCCTGAGTGTTTTGTTTACCTCGGTAACGATCGTTACATGATAGGCCTCCGAGATCGACTTCGATTTAACTTCTGTTTTTCTCACATTAGGTGAACCCGCCGTCTCCCTGTTGATTCCCCGAGTGGGCCGTCTGCCCCGGAACCCTCAGACCCCAGCGTTACTCGATCGCCTCCGACGCCTCTCCGAGAAAACAGGATTTCCTGAACGAGCCCGAATCCACCTGGAGGTGCCTTGGCCTGGGTCTAGACGGATCTCGTTCTGATCGCTTTACCTGTCCGCCCTCCCTCCAGCCCAGTTCTCCAGTGCTCTGCCAGCCGTCATACTCACACCCTCCAAATCTGACGAACCGGTGACCCGTTCCAGGGACCATCCCTCTTTCCTTTCCCTCTAACTCAATAAATCATTATTGTTTCTTTAACCGCTCACCTGATTGTGTCCTTGCATGTGGGTTCGAAACCTTAGAGACAACATGACAAATAGAACTTCCTTAATGTCTGACAGATGCTTGTAAGAGTCCAGGATCTCTGCATTCACTCTCTGGATGTTTGCCGGTGACACTGAGGAAGCTCTGCACCTGCAGATGTCCATAGATCACTGGTGCCATTCTGAAAACTCTATAACATGATATTCTGGAAATGCGGGACTACATTTTCATATATAGGTCATCATTCATCTACTTTCTAACACCCCTATGGAGTTAAGGGGTGTCAGGTGACCAGTCCATCGCAGGGCGACATAGAAACAGACTGGACAAACAGCCATGCAGCCACACCTAAGGAAAATTTAGGCAGGCTAATTAAGGAGAGAACCAACACAGGCAGAACATGTAAACTTCCTGCAGAATCGAACTCAGGACCTTCTTTCCACAAAGCAACAGTGCTACCAACTGTGTCACTGTGCAGCCACCAAGATTATTCATTAGATAATTTTATGGGTCATTGGTTTTATTGTTGTTGTTTTTTTTACAGTTTTACATTTTGGTATTAGTTTGTATAGTCAGTAATTTAGTTCTGAGTGAAAATAACTGTTAGGTGAATGATTAGAAGAGAGGGCTCAGCACACAGCTGTGTGGGACACCAGTCTTGACTGATGATGGAGGAAAAATGGGACACTGACAGATTATGGACAATGTGTCAGAAAGTTTTGACTTGGTTAATTGTTGTTCCAGAACCTTCCAGAATCTTTTATTTCCTTTTTACTTCTTACTATAACTGGTAGATGTCAGTTCTTAACATTTAATTTTACATGCAAGAATGTATCTGTTAAAATACTTTTAATTGATCGAGGTTTTCATTTATTTAAGCAAACATTTCATCAATATAATTTTTACTTATTGAGTACAAAAATGAACAGAAACAACTATTTTTATTTTACTCTCTTGAACTAAATCTTGCTTGTCATCAATGAATTTCTAATTTAAATAAGGAACCCCTACCCCAATTTACATTGTTATCATTAACTCAGCTGCTTTTGTACTCTTCATCTCTAGCTTTTGTCTGTGGCAGATGTGCATTCACCCGTCGTCAAAAGGTCAGATGATTAACTTGAACAATCAGTTTGTAATTTAGGCAAACAGGGTTTGGTTTACTTTGCGTTGCAGAACCATATTGACTGAGTACAGGTGTCTCAAGGGAGGAAGAGCTCACAATGCTCTTCTGTTGGCTCCTTCAGGAGCAACAAAACTTACAGTGAGTCAACTCAAAGTGCCTCCAATCTGCTGGAAGGAAACGTTTGTGTTTACAGTAAGTAAAGTGGAAACAGTGGAGACACACAGTTGAAGGTTTTTTTAGCATCAGTTAAAGGGTATTGTCTCACATTATAATGTAGCACACTTTTTCATCTCTTCATCTAATGTAGCACCTTTTTTGCATATAGCCGCTTGTTCCTGGTGCACCAATGTGGTTTAGGATGTGAGTTGTTTTAGCACCTTTTCAAGCTTCCTGTTTGAATGATGTAAATGATTTCCTCAGAACGACATCAAGGGTTTTTTTGTTTGAAACTAACTCCTTTAAACATCAGGAATGTCTTTATCATTTGCTGAGCTTTAGGCATTGCATGAGGTTATCTTGAGGTTATGTTAGCTGCAATAGTTTACTGCATTGCTGAGCAGAGTATATTTTAGTTGTTATGCATGCATCCAACATCATGGAAACATATCAGTATGCAACATGTTACAAGGTTGGAAACTGCCAAACCAAATGCTGAACTGGGAAGTTGGAGGTAGGTAGCAGACATTTAAAATAGCTCTAAGCATATGAAGGAACATTGCAACTAAATATAACCCAAAATATAACTAAGGGCACCACAAAAAAATTATAAGGGTGAATGTGGTAATCTAACAACAGATTGGGCAATGACTAAAGACTCAATCAGACCATCAGTAATGGTCAACTGGTTGAAACATTACTGGTTCAATTCTCCAGGGCTCACAATATTACACTACACTGAACTCCTGTAGACATGAAGCCATTGCAAATATGCAAATCACACATCCACCATACTGTACTAAGCATCCTCTAAACTTCAGAACTGTAGTCTGAAAAAGGCTCGAAAGTTTAGTCCCCTCAGCTGTCATCACATTGAACAAACTACTGTGATAATCATTCAATTTCTTGTGTTTCCTGTAAAAAATTTTGTTCAGGAAAACAGAGGGATGTCTTTGATACTGTCTGGGAAATGTTGGGGAAATGCCTTACTCTATTCTGTAAAGGTTTGGATGAATATTGTTGCCTTGGTGAAGGATGGGAACAGATGAGGAAGTAAAAGAATGCACTGCATATAGATTTATAAACTTTTTATTTACAAATCAAAGTTAAGTGACATTTAACATTGTGAAGGTGAATACATGTTTCTTCTTCTACATGTTTTTACTGAAACACAACATAATGTCACACCACTAAACTATACCGCAAAGGATTTTATTATACTATATTTATTTTACTAGAAACTTTTGCAAAAAAAATCTTAAAATAATAGCAAAATATTTTATAAAACAAACCTAGCTAAAACTATAAGTAGGGGAGGAAAGACAAACAACACCCACACACTAAGTATATTCCTAATTAACACACTTAAAAAAATATTGTGAGTTTTGGGAATAAACTGGAGAAAACCCACTGAAGCATCAGAAGTAAACACGGAGAAGCAGCTTTTAGTTCTAATGCTCCAACACTATGAAATAAACTTCCTGCTCATTGTAAGTCTGCGACTACCTTAAGTTTTATTTAAAACAAAGTTAAAAACCTTATTTGAAGTTGTCTATTCTTACATTTTTAATCCCACTCATTAATTAAAAATTCTAATGTTTACTTTGTCTATTTTTTATCTGCTTGTCCTTTTATTATTATTTTTTTTTTCCCCATCTAACAGTATGTACTCCTTATTTTTCTTGTACAAGCACTTTGACTTTGGCTGAAAGGTGCTATGTAAATAAAGTTGCCTTGCCATTTCTATTTTACTCTCTTGAACTAAATCTTGCTTGTCATCAATGAATTTCTAATTTAAATAAGGAACCCCTACCCCAATTTACATTGTTATCATTAACATTTTCAGAACACAAACACTTTAGCTATAACCTCTGGTCAACTCTGATTAAAAAATAAAACATTTAAAATTTGCTTGCAGGATTTATGATGGATACAAATCAGAATTTTGTGACTTTCCTTATTTTCTTCTCTAACATTTTTCTTACATAGCTAAATGATTTTGTTATTGAAGGTAATCGCAAAAGAAATGGCACATTTATTATCGAGAGAAAAGTGAGAGTCAGACAAATTAAAAATGTTACTTCAGCAATATTGTGTTCCGACTTGGCTTCTGTATACTGCTAATCTAGTAGCTTCTAAGAAAGCTGAGCTGTCAGTTCCATGTCTTGGTCCACATGCTGCTGTTGCCGATTCTTAACATCTACAAGCAAGAACACAATGGGATGGAGGAAACAGTGAAAGTGACGCACAGCATAAGTTACCAAATCAGCTACGTCTAGAGATGTATTACAGTGATATCCACTATTCTTGAACACCCAAGTAGTAATATTGAATGGTGTCCAGCAGACAAAGAAAACTGCAGCAACAACTATTACAACTTTGAAATCTCTCTGATTTTGAAGGCCTTTGGTGCCACACTGCAGCTGCCACACGATGCAGAAGAAGCAAAAGACCAGGACAACTAAGGGAAACACAAATCCAAATGTGGAGTTCAGCCCTTGTAAAAAGGTATAGGTATGGACATTCACATTTCTAATACATCTATTTTTTTCTTCTGCCATTGCTTCAAAGAAGATCCACTCAGGGATAGAAAGGAGAATGGAGAGGATCCACACCACCACACAGCAGAAATGAACCACCCAGGGCTTCTTCTTCAGAACCTCTTTGGTAGAAGGAATGATTGAGAGGAGGTAGCTCACACTGAGGCAAGCCAGGAGGAAAATCCCACAATAGAAATTAATCTGTAAATAAAAAGAAATCAGTCACAGAAAGTGTTTTTCATATTTAAACCACATCTGTTGCTTACCTTGAGAACACTTCCAGTGACCTTGCAGAAGAACGTCCCAAACATCCATCCGGCATCACTGGCAGACTCTACAGCCCGGAAGGGCAGCGTCACCAACAGCAGGATGTCTGCCACAGCTCGGTGAAGGATCAAAAAGTCTGTTGTGCTCCAGGCCTTTCTGCTCTTCATCAGTACACCCAGCAGCAATCCATTTCCCAGCATTCCCACAACAAACACCACTGAGAACGTAACTGGGATGAACACATTTGCAAAGTTTATATACTCTGTCATGTCACAAACTTCATCTTCATAGTCTTGATCATAGGAATAGGTAAAATTATATATATATCCATGCCACCATGGATATTCATCTGATGACATCACAGGAGCTTCCATAATGCACACCTGTAAGGAAGAGGGAAAATGTTCACCTTGTTTATTGAGCCGCTAAGTCAGAGTCCAACATGTTGTCAGAGAAATTAAGTGCTGTTATTTTAAATAAACTGGAGGCCATGCTGAGTAGCAGCAGTCAAAATCATGAAGTATATGATGTGCACAGAAAACCATCTTTTTTCCTGTCCAACATGGCATTTTTGAAGAACAAATTGCATTTTTCTTTTGACATCCATCTGTAAACCCAATTACTCCAATGAAGCAACTATAATTACAAAACTGTACCTTGAATGTTGTTCAATCAGTATTGACCTAATCCTGTTCCCGTTTATATAATGCACTGCAGACTTTGCATATTACTCTGTGCACAGTTGAGAGACTAAAGATGGTTTAACAGTTCTAAAACTAGACTCTTAGCTATTAAAAGTGAGGAATCAGTTCACTTCACGCTGTGACATGAAAGCCTTGTCTGGGAAAAATGAAAGATTGAAACTATTCAGTCTGTGCCGGTAAAAAAAAAAATAAATTTTGTAATATATATTCAGCAGCTTACTCCTCTCATTAAACTATAACTTGTCTGCTCTTTGTGACATTAGTTTTTTAGAGTCAAGAATATGAAGTGAAATGATCCAAGTAGCAAACAGTCTTTGATTTGAAAGTGAAACCTTTCTGAAAATGAGGACATTTAATATGGATTTTAGTCATTTGGTATTTAAATTAGGTTTCAGTTCTCTTTTGCTCAGCCTTTTACAGCTTTTTACTTTGGGGGATTTCACTGCTTCATTGACAGATTTATAATAATAAAACAGTCGACACTACACATTTTCAGAGGCCGTGTTCAAGTTTTTTTCTTTCAAATTTTTGCAACAATTTGAGATTACTGACATGGAAGTATCATACGCTGCCAGCCTAAACACAGAAATCACAAGAAAAATGGCCTTTCAAAACAAAATGTTGCCCCCTTGACTGCAAATTTTAATTTAATATGACATTATCAAATCACAAATGCCAATTTAGATTTTGTCACTGTGCTTTAGCATGACCTCCTAAAGCCCACTAAAGGCTTTAGGAGGTCTGTAGAAAGAAAATAGTTTGGAAAAGTGACTGAATTCAACTTCAGTGCCCATTAAATGACAGATGTAACAAAGCCGGGAATGGCTACCAGTGACCAGTGGAAACTGTCCATCATCTATCATAAGACAAAAAACAATCACACAAAATACAGTAAATTTAAAATTATTAATTCCTTTACCACAAATGATTTCAAATGTGGGTAGAAACAGGGATGCGTAGACAAATAATACAGTTCAGTGACATTTGCAAATTGCACAGAAATATTAACAATGAGAAGATAGAAATAGAAGATTTTTCACTTGTGAGGTGACACTGAAAGAAAACATCAGTATTAAATTTATTCAGATTTAATCAATATGTTTATACTTATTTTTTGTCACAAATGGAATTGTAGTTATTGAAAGTTCATATGTGAGTTTAGTGAAAGTTTTTTCTTTAAATTCACTTACCAAACTGTGATCTTTAGATGTTGTTGGTCTCAGAACAAGGCAACAGGGACGACGTCTCGTTTGGCATTTAATGATTCCACAAGGGAACTGAAATTCAAACAGGGAATCACCAAACAAGACTTTTTTTTTGTTTTACTTTTCTTTTTCCACGCACACTAGAAAATAAATTTCAGATTTTATTGATATGAACAAGACAAAATCACATATATGGAAAATGCTTAAACTTGAACAAAAATGTATAAAAAGTTATTTCTTAAATTTACTCTTACAGCCTGACAGACACGTTAGGTACTCAGTCTTCCCATACAATTTTAATTGACTTGTTTAAGTCAATATAGCAGTAGATCCAGTTCATGAGATTATTTCAGAAATAGTTTTAGAGAAACCTAAGATTCTATTAAGACTTTACAGATCATAATGTGTTTTAAGCACTTTATGATTAAAAAGTGTTTTTGGTTTCAGTGTACAATGTTTGCCATGGCAAACAGCACAAATAGTTAAATAAATATTAGATAAGATTTAACTATTTTCAAAGAGATTTTGAGGCAAACATTTTTGGTTCCAGGTTTATATTGTTTTTTGACAGATTGACAGACACGATTAATTTACAAACACCATGAGAAACAGTGATAGATCAACGACCTGACTTACAGCTTCCTTGTGGTGTAAGTCCATCCCACACTCATCTCCTTCAGACTAGTGGCAGCAGCAATTAAAACGCCTGATTTAATTGTGTGTCTTCTGAACTCATCATCTGAACTACTTCTAAGCTCAAAGCTCCTAAGAACAGTTGTAAACAGCATGACGGAGAAACATTGTTGTGATGACATGCTGAACGCAGAGTCAGAAGCAAGAATTTCAAAGCGTCAAATAGTGAAATTTGACTTTTAACTTATGTTCGATATTGAGCTTTGCGTGATTTTTATAACAACTGAAGGTAACATAGTTACTTATTAGCTGCTGGACTACCAGCCAAGAAGGTTTTAAAAGTCAACACAGCTCTTTTATTTGAAACCAACTTTGTTTCATACTTCAAAATTAATGTTTCAAAAATGGGTAAAGACAGTGACCACTCTTAAATCATAACTGAACTAAGTGTGCATGCGTGTGTATGTGTGTGGCGGGGGATCTTATATTTTTTCATAAGACATGAAAACTTTGTGTATTTCAGGATTTAAGTTTTCAAACTTGGAATAAAAGCCAAGATTGTTAATTGTAATTACTCTCCACCCCTAACCAGTTGTAAAAGGATGTTTCATTTTCATGTAAATGGGTTATGTAATAACAGACTGACAGTGGGCGTTTTTATAAGGTTCATACTCAGAGAAACTTTTCTTCGCCTTTCTTAACGGAAACTTGAGGTTGAGGATGTGCTTTGGTTTTTTCTACTTTCTTTCAGTTTCCTGCAAAAAAAGTTTGATGATTTCTTCAGAAATGGCAGCATGTTGGGCTTAGTTTTTATCTGTTTCTGCTTTGATTTTTCTTCCAACCGCAAATCTCTTAGAAATCTGTAAAAATCCTTTCAAACATGTAGATATTCACAAGTTTAGGGTCTCTGATATTAAAATTCAATAAAACTACATAACTTTTGAAATGTACATTTTCTAACATTTCAGTTAAGGTACTTAAAAAAGAACTGATTTATGCAATTTTGAGCAAAAATAGGAAAACCTTTATTTTTGAAAATGACAAAATTTAGAAAACAAAAAGGTCCAGAGTAAATTGTTTTTATTAAAAAAAGAGATAAAAGAAAACAAAGCAGTGTAATTCTTCCTCATCTCTAATATCAAATTGTTAACCATCTTCACTTTCAGTGAACACAAAATGCACAATATAAAAGGTTATATGAAACATGAATGTTCTTTTAAATGAGTATATTATTTCAATATACTGACAAATTTATATAAATTTTCTCACACATACTTTTATTACTAAATACCTCTAAAATAAACAGATAAAATGTTTGTGGGTGATTCTACATGCATATGTAGACATACATAATAAAACAGATTCAAACAATGTTTTTCTTAAGAACTAATGCTGGCTGTGCTCTCTCTCTTGCAGTGTGGCTGCTGGCGAACTTGAACTCCAGATAAAAAATGTGGAATGAATTAAGAATGATCCAAACAGCTGCACATGTCTGAAACTGATTTTTAAAAAAGCATTTCATCATCTTCACCCTGCAACTGAGCCAACGTTTCTCTCCTTGAAAATATTTATCTTTCTGCAGTCATAGTTCAGAAAAACAGGTTTGTCTATATCTGCATTTACTTCAGACTGTACAAAATGAAACATAATAAAAGTAACGTTGCATATTGTAATTGCTAAATGATTCACAAAAGCACTTTGTTTAAAAATAGAAATAATTTTGTCTTTGGAGGACTTTTTCAATAAAACAAAAATGATTTAAAAAAAATTTATTTTATCTGCTTACAAAATATGTCAGAAGAAATTTTGTCACCACAAACAGAAACTGTGATAAAAAGTATCTTGTTGAGTGTGATTTGATTTCTGCCTGAGACAATTTGTCATTAGGTTTCTATCTGTCTTGCATCATATGAATCATGGGAAACTGCATACTTCTTAAACCTCAAAGTGAAATTCCTTGTTTTAATTTGTGCAGCCTGTATCAGTAGAGAGAGAGAGAGAAAGAGAGATTCAGTTTCTTTTGCGAAACCATTTTTGGAGCAGATGTGTCTTGTTTGTAACATTTTAGAAATAGAAAATCAGAATCAGTTCTACTCACCTAGATTGAATTAACAAACAAGAATTTTCACTTTAGTTTTTAAGCCTTTGCAAAATAAAGACAAAGTATAAATATGTAAACTGTATAAGAAAACATTGGAGTAAATAAAAAACATGTACTGCATTTGCAACCAATTAATTTTTCTACATAATGAAAGGCAAACAGGAGGTTTGATATGACTGAGCAAAAATGCTTTTTCAGTTTCACAGCATAGTTCTTGTCTAGAAGCTGTAAGGCAGGGCTGCTCAAGCCGAGTCCTCAAGAGCTTCTGTCCTGCAACTTTTAGACACATCCTTACTGCAACAGACCAGGATCATATAGCTTTTTAAAATATATATGCGTATGGGTGTGTGTCTGGGTGTATTCACCCCTAGCAGTATTTAGATGAACATTAAAAGAAATGATTTTATCTCTCCACAACCTTTTACAATATTTATGCCAGGATATTTGGCTATTCCTTCAGACAAAAATGGTCAAACTTATTATATTTATGCCTCTGATGAATATATTGAAGCTCCTCAATGTAAAATTATTTTTGAATTATTTCAATGGAGTTGGAGGCGTCAGCTGACTCAGACCGAAAGGAAGATTCAAATTTTAAACTTGTCTTCAGTTTGCAGCCCATAGACCTCAGGATATTCAGCAGCTGATGTTGAAACCTCAGACCTACGAAGGCATACAGGATAGGATTGAGGCTGCAGTGAAGGTATCCCAAACTTTCAGTCACTAGCCGAGCAATCTGCAGAGATGTTCTTGTTCCACATGCTGTTCCATTATCGTTGTTTTGGTGAATTGTGTCCACAATGAGTGTGATATTAAGTGGAGTCCAGCAGAGAAAGAAAACAGCCACCACGGCTATTATGACTTTGAAAGCTCTCTGCTGTCGAAGGCCTTTGGTACCACACCCCAGTTGCAACAGGATGCAGGAGTAGCAAAAGGTCAAAACAAATGAAGGAAGTAGGAAGCCCATAGTGTGGTACAGCCACCGGGTTGTCATTCTCCAGATATGAAAATATTCTGGACTAATCTTAAGGTAGTTATGAACACACTCTGTTCTGCTTCGTCTGACATCTTCCACGCTTTCTAAAAAGTACCAGTCAGGGATGGATAGGATAAGGGAGACTAACCACACCACCAAGCAGCTGGCTTGAACCACCCAGGGCTTCCTGCGAGTGTACATCTTGGTAGAATGGACAATAAAAAGGTAGCGGTCCACGCTGATGCAGGCAAGGAGGAAAATCCCACAATACAAGCTGACCTAAAAGCAAAAAGAAATCAAACACTGAGACATACTTGCTTTTTGAACTAATATTCCCCATTGTACATTCTTACTGTGAAAACAGCTCCAGTGATCTTGCAGAGCGGGGTGCCAAAGGGCCATCCAGCCAGACTTGCAGACTGTACAGCCCAGAGTGGCAGCAGCAGCAGCAGCAGGACATCCGCCAAAGCCAGGTGAAGGACGAAGGTGTCTGTCACGCTCCAGGTCTTCCTGTTCTTCATTAGCACGGCTATCAACAATCCATTTCCCAGGATTCCAACAACAAACATCACTGAGTACAGGACTGGGATGAAAACTGCTTCAAAATTCATACTCTTGGTCAGGTCACAAACATCACCATCCTCATAACGGTTATCTTCATAAAACGAATCGTTGCCATAATAATCAGGTAAATAATCTACAAGATCACTCCACCATGGATGTTCATCTGATGATGTCACAGCAGCTTCCATAATTCACCTCTGTAAGAAAAGGAGATTGTTTTACTTAGTTTTAGTTTGTTCATTGAGTTCTCAAGTAAGAAACTAACCATAAAATGTATCAAAAATCCATTTGATCGTCCCACCATATAAACTTAAGTCAGCAAAAACCAGATCTGAATCCATGAAAAGTTTCAGTTTAATTTGTCCACTAAAAAAAATGCACATTTGCCTCAGGATTGGGCTATAGAGCATTAAAATGGCTAGAGCTTTCTTCCCACCAATGATTATTCACTAAGATACTGGGAATCCTGTCTAGCTTACAATGAAATGAAGAGTTCAGTGCTCTATAGAAGGAAAAACTGAGAAGAAATTGAGAAGTGAAAATAGTCTACACATCAAAAAGGAAAGAAAATATGGGTGGCTACCATTAACAAAGAAATGCAGAGCCTAACATTAAATAATAACTTTAAGTAGCATAACAAAAATCTAACTTATGTATATTTCTTGAAGCAGAAATGATCCCATTGATTGATTGCTGAAACTTTTTATTTCATCATTTGTGGCACCACATAATCAGAGATCTACATTAAAATTCACAACAAACTAGTTCTTAAAAATCTCCCTTATTCACTTATTGTACCTATTATTTTGAGTTCAGAGTTAAAGATCAAAAAAGTCTTCCTGAGTGACATGAAGACAGTGGCCTCTTCATACAGTCAAAAACAGAAACCTGCCATCAGTACAGACCTACTATCTCACTTAATGTTCATGTTTTGAAGCACAGGAAGAACCCGGGGAAGCCACAGAACAACTGTAAAAATAAATTCACACGGAAAGACCTGAAACCTTTTTTCAACTGCGACACCGCTGCAATCCTACTTGTAAAATTCTGTGTAGTTTATTTATTTTTGACATTATATTTACCCTATTTTGAAATACCTAAACTGAAAGAATTTTTTTTAAAATTATTTATCAATGACGGAATTTTATAAATGAATTTAAATACTAAAAGAATTACTAAAATTAAACACAATGTAAATTATCTCAACAAACCGTATGTTGTTGGATGCTGTAGGTCACACAAGCTGGGCAGAAATGGCTTTGAAAGGATTCTGGACGGCGTACAATAGAACTGTAGGAGGAACTATTCATTCAGAGAAGGAATCCCCTCTTGACCGACACCACAAATGGGAAACTTTTGTAAATTTCTTTAAGCCTTCTTATTTCCCGTCTTCTACAGTTGACAAAAATAAATTAAGGTTCATATTTTCCTGTTTAAATTGGATTTTTTTTACTTGAGATCCAGAAACCATTACAGCTATGTTATCTTGAGTTTTATTCCAAACAGAAAAAGTAAGCACAAAGAAGCATGAATGTATGTACATTTTATCAATTGATATTAATAGGAAGAAGAGCTGTGGGAATTTCTGAAAATTGTGTGGTAACCAGACATAGAAGAATAAGTAGTTCCACAGTTCGCAGAATGTCAGTTTGTAGAATGTGTGTTGCTCAAGCCACAAAAAAAAATTACAGAGCCGATGTTCTGCTTTACCAAAGTGTGAGAAGAAAAGTGTAGCCAAAACACAGAATTCAAACTGTTTTACTTTCTTATATCTTATTTAAGGTTATTTAGACATAAAAAGTTAGTCTTCTGTAGCGCATGTGAGAGAATATTGCAGACCTCCACTATATCTCAACATCTATAATTATTAAAGGTGAGCCACATTAGGGATCCTAGAGTTCATTAATAGAATTCAAACTGTATATGTCATATTCAAAATGATTTATGGTTTCTGTCATTTTAGAATTTATCAGAACAGTTCTGGAGCCTCAGCTGCCTGCAAAACATGCTTGTTGGGGTATTTTTTAATCTAAGCCTTGAGTGTGTGTGTGTATTATTGTATCTTTGTGTTGCCCAGTAATGTAATGACAACTTGTCCAAGCTAACTATCAAAGTGGTGTTCATTTTCTTATAAGCAAAGACAGCAGACAACCTTATATTTCTTTTTTTTTTATTTAAGTCATTATCACGTCACGATATTCTGAAGCAGTTTACATGGCAAACTGAATCAAACATACTTTTTAAGAATAAAGATGTTTTTATTCTGCAATTAAACACTCAATATAAAACTAATGCAATCAAATGTAGAAAAAATAAGAAACAAAATACAAAATGTTCTATAAGTACATGAAACATTTTGAGAGACAGTTTTGCTGTCACTCACCAAATGTAACTCAGATCACCATATCTTATGCACCGGTAGCTGCCTGGTTATTAGAAGATATAAAAAATATGTTATAGTGCCAAATAGGTAACACATATCTGTTAAATGTCCAGTCCAGTAAGACAGTTCACCAACATTTAGAAGAATTTGTCCTCATGTCAGTTTTTAACATGTTTGAGAGTCTGTTTTGTAAAAACAAACAGCTTATATATACATATGTACATATATCTTTTTCCTTTTAAATTGCAATGGAGTTGGAGGCTTCTCCAGAATCTGACCAAATGGAGCTTCTCCTGGTGAAAGACTCTAATTGTATATTTGTCTTCAGTTTGCAGCCCATAGACTTTAGTATGTTCAGTAGCTGACGGCGAAACTTCACACCCACAAAGGCGTAGAGGATGGGATTGAGGCTGCAGTGAAGATATCCCAAAGACAAAGTCACAGTCATAGCTTTGCCCAGAGAACTTGTTGTGTCACATGTTTCTGTATTGTTGCTTGTTTGAATTGTGTCTGCCAAAAGTACAATATTAAACGGCGTCCAGCAGACAAAGAAAACTGCCACAACAGATATTATGACTTTGAAAGCTCGCTGTTTTTGGAGACTTCGGGAACCACATTGCAGCTGCAACAGGATGCAGGTGTAGCAGAAGATCAGAACAAATGAAGGAAATAAAAAGCCTACAACATGGTACAGTGAACGTGCTGCTATTTTTAATCTCATTATGTCATCTTCACTGTATTTTAAATATTTCCGAGCGCAAGTCTTTCTGTCTTGTCTGGAATCTTCCGAGACTTCTAAAAAGATCCAGTCAGGAATGGAGAGGACCACAGAAAACAACCACACCAACATGCAGCTCACATGGACAACCCAGGACTTCCTTCTGTTGTACATCTGGGTAGCATGGACGATGGATAGATAACGATCAACACTGATGCAGGCTAGGAGAAAAATCCCGCAGTAGAAGTTGATCTGAAATCAAAACAAAAAATCAAATCTTGAGAATATTTTGCATTTTAAGCAAGCTGTCACTTCAACTGTAAAATTCTTACCGTAAGAACAGTTCCAGTAATCTTACAAAGGGCAGAACCAAACTCCCATCCGACTTTGCTTGCAGCCTCTCCAGCCCGGAACGGTAGGATGAACAACAGCAGGACATCTGATACAGCCAGATGAAGGATGAAAATGTCTGTCACACTCCAATGCTTCCTGCTTTGAAAGAGGACTCCCAGCAGCAGTCCATTCCCCAAGACACCAACAACAAACGCCACCGAGTAAAGAGTTGGTATGAACAAGGATTCAAAAACTGTGCCATTGCTCAGGTCGCAAACATCACCTTCAAGGTAATCATAAGAGTTATTGTCATTGTATGTCAAGTTATCTATAAAGTCGGCCCACAACCAGGCATCTTCTGCTTGATCCATAGTCTCACACCTGTAAGAAAAAAAAGAAGGTTTTCACTTTTGTGTGTTCATTGAGTTGTTAATCTTGGATCCAACCACATGGGGGTGCCATGTGTCTGTTAAGCTCCAACTTAGTTATTTTCAGATTGATTTTGACTGAAGCATAAAAATGTCTCTGTGTGTGAGGAAGATAAATTTTTCATTTTCTGACACTCAAAAAGCAATGCAACACTTTAATTTAGTTTAAAAAACTTTGTTCATTTTAGCTTGTCTTTTTATTTCTTAACATAGATATAACAATAAACAATTTGTTGCAATTGTTTGCATAAAAATATTCAGGAAAAGTTATCAGCACATCGTCATTTGTCTTTCTAGGTTTTTAACCTTTTTTTAATTAATTAAATCAACCTATACTCAATGTTGGTGTCATTGCCGCATTTTTCAGACTACTGCTTCCTATCAGTTACTGTCAAAATTATTACCAACAAAATTTTCACAATTTCAAAATGCTTTAAAGTGTTGTAAAACATTAAACATCACAATTGTTTAAGGAAACATAATTGTACACCTGCTGAATCACATGCAGAAGATTTATTGAGCTGTAACATAAAATGAAAATCAGAAAATTAAGCAAATGTGAAAGTTAATCTTATGAAATAAAAGTTGTATATGCTCATCAATCAAATCAAAATCAAGTCAAATTTTATTTGTATAGCACATTTCAGCAGCAAGGCATTTCAAAGTGCTTTACATCATAAACACAAAAACACAAAGTCATGCAATATGTAAACAATACATTACATATTACATTTCAAATACAATTCTAAACAGGTGTGTTTTTAGTTGAGATTAAATGGAAGTTGGGGTTTCCGCTGTTTTACAGTTTTCTGAAAGTTTGTTCCAAATTTTTGGTGCATAGATGCCGAAAGCTGCTTCTCCTCTCTTGGTTCTGGTTCTGGGGATGCAGAGCAGAACCAGAACCAGAAGACCTGAGAGGTCTGGAAGGTTGATACAACAACAGCAGATCTTTGATGTGTTGTGGTGCTAAACTGTTCAGTGATTTGTAAACTAACAACAGTATTTTAAAATCTATTCTTTGAGCTACAGGGAGCCAGTGGAGGGACATTAAAACTGGTGTTATGTGCTCTGTCTTCCTGGTTTTAGTGAGAACCCGAGCAATGACTTACTATGTACTGAAAGTATGAAAATTCTGAACAAGGAAAGTAAATAACTTACCAATTTGTGTCAGTCAGATATTGTAGGTCTCACAGCTGCTCAGCAGAAATGTGCTTTTTACAATCCAGTGCCACTACTAACACCATGCAGGGGAGCCACAGAGTGAGTGATAGAAGGAAGAGAAAACACCACAGCAAGAACCACAGCGTCAAACGTAACCCCTTTCAAGTGATTGGGGTGTAGCTTTGGGGGGGATTTAACTTTTTTTTCTTAGTAAACATTAAACTCTTTGTATTTAAAAAATCTCATTAAAGAAGTCTTACTAATTAAGGCTTATTTAAAGCAACAACAAAATCACTGACAAAGACTGTGCTGCATATTTGTCAACTGGATTCAAAAACTTTTGAGCAACTACTAAATAAATATGCAGAACCTAGTTTTGCAAATCACCAGAACTTAGTTTTTGTGATGGCAAAGTGCCATGAACCAAAAACGTACCACAAAAACCATTCCTGAACTGGGTTTGCATATACTGCAGGTTTAACCAGTTTAACACAAACTATTCCACAACTTTACCTCTGCTTTTGTTTTTGGCAGAATAACTAGACCACTTTCTACTGCTTACAGCAGGTTACCCACAGTGAATCTGTGGGTGAGAAAAGATTTTGAAAGATTATGTTGTATGGTATATAGTGCACAGTTTCACTTAAGAAGTGAGAAGTTTAAGACTTCTCAGCTTCTTTAATTGTGACTCTTGAAATTATGTTGAATGGGAAACATCATCAGGTAAAATTATCAGTGCCTGTCATTGCCTTACCTTGACAAAATGAATTGAAACCACCAAAGACATGTGAATATGTGAAGATTTGATGTTATGACATTTCCAGAATTTCATTACACTCAACCTGAGATTGACTCATCAGTTTCATTTGCTTACAAACTGTTCAGACTCTGAACCGATTTAAAATAAATGTCTTGAAGAGAAATGCCTGATCCTGAGTGCTGACATTGTAGTTTGGTGGATATGTTCATCATTTTAGAATAAAATGATGCACTGTCTTTAAATCAATTTAAATATTGATTTAAAGACAGTGCATCAGATTTTTTTTGCGATAGTTTCTGGAAGTGTGATGTGTTACAAATTCTTGGCATGTTCACAAAATGTTCTTATTGAACAGTTTGAGTGAAATTTGGAATGGATTAGATCAGCTTTTCTCCCAAGAATTGAAATGTTTTTGTAATTTAGGTCATGTGGGATTCTCCTGACCAGTCACATGGAGTACATACCAAATCAGGAAAATGTTTATCTAATTTTGCATTATTTTCTGTTCTTTTTGAAGAAGAGGAAGTTTCAATTCTTCTTTGATTTGGCCGACATTCAGCATTTGTTTGGAGATCACTACATTGAGATCAAATTAAGGAAGAAAGAATAGGTGATTATTCTCTTGAACAACATGACAAAATGTGTATTTCAATCCATCACAAAATAACTTCAGAGTAAAAAAAGCAATAGTACAATCTCCAGCTCCAATCATTGAGAGGATTAATTTGGAAGTTCATACAGAGAGGAGCAAGTAATGAGAAATGAGGCGTGAGGTCAGTCATTTGAGACATGAAAACCCTATCAGTCTTTTTGTGACTCACCAGAGCAATTATTTACCAATTATTGACCAAAATTGCCATTTAAAATGCTACAGTTCGTAAAGCCTTCAAGTAGATGCTTTTAACTAGTTTTGTTGCTCTTTTTCATCTACTTTATTCCGTCAGCCACTGTCCCAAACACCACATCACCAAGACAGAATGCTATGCAGTGATTTTTTAATTCAAATAGTCTGTGTTTTATGTTATGGTAAAACTGCACTACAGTACCTTTACTTTCCTATCATGTCAAGCCACTGAAACTCGATTGGTTTGTTTTCTCATATGTAGTTTGATGCTAAATGTTCAAATCAAACTTGTACTAAATGTTTAAGGGATGAAAGAAAAGTTGAAATACTAATGAAAATGGATGAATGTACATACTTTATTAGTCCCAGAGTGAAATTCGCATATTTCAGTACAACCCGCCCAAAGTAAACTGATGTCTAAATGTCTGATATGACATTTAGACAGGTGTCTGAGGTTGGAGGGAGGAGGTGCCACCCTTTACAGCAGTCTTTCTCAAACTGTGGTCCCTGGAACCACTGGTGGTCCATGGCCACCCTTTGTTGGCCGCAGGATACTGCATGTAAACGACTGTTGATTTGGCTTGATGTGAGCTCAAAGAGTGACACATACAATTAGCTCACCAAAGAATTATGTTTAAAAATAATGCAGACGTGGCTGAAAAATGGGTCATTCAAAAGAGAAACTGAAAATACTGGTGGAAAGAAAACAACATCAAGACTACTTATATGATCGGGGGAAGCCAAGTCATACCTGTCGAGAGTGTTGATTGTAAATGAATCGTTTCTTTTGGTCCTCAACCTGAAAATGTTTGAAAAGCACTGCTTTAGAGGTATGCAAGAAGAATATTTATGTTACCTTGGCTCAGACATATAGAAAAACAACCGACATCTGAAGCAGATAACAGAGAGAAAACTTTCAACATTAAAATTTGAATAGAACTGATACTGATTCTTCTGCTATCATCAGCAGTTCTTTTGTACTGAAAGAAGAAACAAAGAGGAAAAACTGCTTTGAAAGACAGAATGGATTTACCTCACAAAACCACCGAGATGGTCTGAGTGTGGTCACACTGTACCAAGCCATTTTATCCTGGCCCTGGCATGAACTCAACCCATTCCCTGAAGAATGTCTTTTTTATAAGGAAGACAATCTGTTGCAGCAATATAGCAATTGATCAACAGGTCTTAAGTCATCGTCAATTTACATAACTATTTATTTACTTTCGGGACGTGAATAAAAATTATGCAATAGCGTAAGTTGTTTTTTTTTTTTATATATATATGTAATTTTTGCTACTAATGGCCTTTAGGCAACAGTAATCTGACAGGAAGAGGAAAAGAGATATGGCAAAGGAATCGAGGTTGGGAACTCAGGATAGCCATGTTAAAGTCTGTAGCTTCTGTGAACAGGGCCAGAAGTGTTCAGTCGATTTTGATGTATTTATACTTCATAATTTCAACACTGACACTGGCCCTCCACCAACTGTGAGCACCACTGCATTAGACATTACCAACAGATTCCAGATTTTGATTGACAAGCAGCTCTTTTGGCTCAGGTGGAACATTAAAAGAAATAGTTTTGGTTTTGTTGTCCTATACACTAACCTCAGATGAGGAAGAAACAGTTTCTCTACCTATGTACTGCTAACCAACATGATAGTCAATGATTTTCAGCAAAAGTATTCAGAGAACATATGAACTGGGAGTTTTTCAGGGTTATTATTGCTAATAAAATTCCTTCAGTCAAAGGAGTGAAACATTAATTAAGAAAATAGACGCAAAATATGAAGAGTCAGAGAAAATATAGAAGTTTCTATGCTAACAGAGGGTCAATTTAATAAATGAAGGGGCTTTTCAAATATTTTGAAAATTAGTGCATGTCCAAAAACTGATTTTAAGTGTTTTCCAAACAAGAAAAACAAAATATCCTTGTGACCAATGTCATTCAAAACCTTTGCAAGTAACAAAATACAATTCTGAATTTTATTTACAAGGGTTACTTTTATAGTTTTCTATAAAATGAGGATCTTGTTGTTTTGTCATCTTCAACAGTTTATGATCAATAAACCAAAATAGAGTAACCAAAAAAATGGAGATGCACATAAATAAGAGGGCAAACTGCAAGAGATGGAGAAACACGACCAATGCAAAGCACAGCAAACATGAAACTAGAACTAGAGATTAGTCATAATGAGACCTATTTCTCTGCAAATGAAACCTGGATTGCTCACATAAGTTCATAAAAAAGTTTAATCATTGTAGGTAAGGAGGACAGGTCTAAATATATGGTCATGGTCATATTGTCTGTCCCTTTACGTATTGAGAAAATAGAAGGCTATTCAATGTAGTAGGGGGAAGTATAAGAAATTTCTTCATAGCAGCATGTAAACACTTTGTAATAAATCACCTGACAACACATTCACATCCAAAGGAGTAAAACTTGAATGAATGAAGTTATCTTTAGCTGATCATACTGAAACTGCTATTAAAATGCATTTGAGCTATTTTTATGCCTCTTATCTGTGTTAAATCTCTCACAAAATGATATCGTTATAGAATCTTTCAGAGAGGTTGTCACTCACTTCAGAACCTTGAACATATTATCACACCTTTTGTTTCATGGTGTTGCTTTTCCCGTCTGCACAGCCACAGATGCATGCAACATGACACCTGTCAGAGCATTGCATTTAAATGTCTATTTCCCCTTCACTTTACTTAGTTGCAAAAGGTTCCTGTTTTTTCACACCTTTTCTCTCCTTGTCTGCTCTGCAGTAATTTCTTCAGTTTGTGGTCAGAGAGGCAGGTAGAAGCACAAGCATCTGCAGCTCACAAAGCAGTTTCTGTTTTTTTCCACCCTCTAACGAGACTGCTTAAGAGAGTTTGTTTGAGCAAAGTTGTTTGTATCTTTGGTGCCATCACAGTTTTCACACGTTAGAGGAAGGCTGGTATCCTCTGTGGTTTAAAATGCAGCCATTGAACTGAGTGGTTTATCTAAAAATCCACAAAAGTGTTTTTGGCACTCTTTGAACTTGTCACATATGATTAGCTTTCAAGGTTTGGAAGTTACTGGATTGGTATTTTCCATGTGTCCAGTAGCAGCATATTACATTTAAATAGAACATGACACATTTCAAATATAAACGTCTTAATAGAAATTAAATGTGTAAAAGGCAAGTGTGCCCTTAAATTAATGTTTTGTTTAAATAGGAAGCAAAGAAACCATGAAAATTTAGGAAGTGAAAGAAACAAAACACATGCTAGTTTTGTTTCCTGAAATTCTGTTTTGTTTTTAGTCAAGTTACCAAGGTTGAAGAAATTATTAAAATACGTGCATTTGGTCCCATTTATACATCCAAAGGCAGAGGTTGAAATCAGTGTTGCTCATTTGACTTCCTGTTATGATGTAATTGCAGAGTCACATTATCCTAACCTCAAAATTTGTTGGAGAATTCAATTAATACTTCGGACGACAGAGAAGCTTTAGACGGCGAGGTTAGTTTTGCCAATATAGTTATTAGTTAACATCTGTCAACATTCAAAGGACCCTGTTCTCATGAGAAAAATATTGATTGCAATGAAGTGTATTGCAACCTCACAGAAGTTGGACTTACAGCTATTTCATTACTTCTGTAAACAGAATGTTTCCTTTTTTGGAATTATTTAGTGAAAACTCAAGTGGAACGTTTTGGTTTTCTGAATCACTTCCGTCTTTTGCTCTGTTAAACTACACTTAATATTTGGACTATCCTAATAAGGACTGGGCCACAACAATTAAGTTTATTTGTTCGTTTGAATCTCAGCATCAGTAGCATAACGGATGCAGTAAGGGAAGTAGTGTGCTGTTCTTTGCAACACCTTAAACAAGCACTGACATGCACACTCAGAGAGCACAATGTTACTATGATAATCATCAACAATGTTCATAACAAACATATGGACAACGTGACCATTTAAAAACTTACCATTTCTTTCTTGTAAGAGAGGATTAAAAAAGTATGACTTACTAACTAACTTTCATAACAAGTCAATGCACCTGTTGTTGTAGTGGAGGAGAAAGGTGTCAATAGCTCTGGCGCTCTGCAGGGTTGACAGCAAGCAAAGCCAGCTTACAGATACTATTGCTGCTGTTCCTCCGTTTTTCAAAAGACACAATAAGAGAAACTGAGCTTATTTCTCAGTGATTCTTCAGGAAAGGTTAAAAATATGGATTTCTAGAACTGTCGATTTTTGGTGACTTCAGTTTACAAAAATGTGGCATGTTTTGACTCTCTCAGGAGAAATTTGGTTAATAACACCTAACTGGGTTTTCAGTTCATTTGTTTACAGGATATGAAATGAGCTTAATGGCAGGTTTTGCTTCAGAACACTTCCAATTTTCTTTTTTCTTTGGGTGTTGTAAGATGTGTTTCTCTGTTGGTCAATTAAAGCACAAACAATCTGAGCATAGATATGCTACTTAGACATAGAGCTGTAACAAGATTATGTAACCAGGTTGTTGTGTACGTGTTGCAGATTTCTGCCCGGGTCCTTCTTGAAAATAAGATCTAGATCTCAATGGGGTTTTACCTGGTTAAATAAAGAAAATAAAACAATCTATATATACATAAACTGTTTTCAGACGCCACACTAACTGAGGGAAATTTCTATTACAGTCCTGTTGGTGCCAGGGGAGATAAGAAAGAGAGAACTGAGGGTACAGATTGATCCAGAGGAGGCCTCTGGGAAGTCTAATGGTTAGGAAAGGTGAGGCCAACTTGGAAATTAATCTTTGTGAAGCAGTTAAGCATTAATAACTTACGGTTCTGGAAAGGAGAGCAGATGTTGAAGGGAGGGAGTGATCCTGATAGTGGTTGGTACTGATAGAGTTCCCGGGTAATTTCCACTAAGAGCAGAGTAGCTGGTTGGTAAGATCCAGATGGTTCCCGAACAAAGTACATCAGAGAACAGGCAGGCTGAGAATGACAGAGCTGCTGTGGACGATCATGGAGAGAATGGATATCCTTATGGGATCATAACAAGGAAGTGGTTTGGTGTTAGGATCGAGTGACAGAGGCGTGGAAGCCCATAGACTGAGCTCCACCTCAGGCAAAAAGAGCAGCAAGCATAAATATAGAGCAAAGTAAGTACAAGTAATATCTGTGAAGAAGTAAATAGTCACAAGATATAGCAGACTTGACTCTATAAGGAAAGACTGAATTCTATGTAACAACTGGTCTCAAACAGCTTCTTAAAATTCCAGCAGATTGTGTAATACAAACAGATGTGGCGTCTGTAGCTGGTTGGCTTTGCTCTCCAGCAGAAATTCTCTGTTCAGGGAACGATCTCACACATGCACAAAAAACACAAACACTCTCTAGAATATAGTAGCTCATGTAAAACTTAAAGAATAGAAACAAAAATAGCAGAATTATTTATGTTTTTGTCAAATTACATTGAGAAAAAATTTACTGAATAGGACAATGTGTGGATTCATTCAGTTTATTCCTTCTAAGTCTGATTACCGGCTTACAAGGATAAAGTTTAATTATGATGTTAATTGTGAGTTGGAGTTATTTAGACTAATTTACATGAGTGGAGAAACTGCTGTTTTAAAAATACTGGTAGGATGACGAATGAGAAATATGAGCGGAGTAAGGAGCAGGTCAAATGAGGAATGAGAAGGATGTTTTTGTATCCAAAGAACGCCCAAAGAACTTTTAGTTGCATCGGTGGTTCAACATGTTTGAATCAAATGGCTGAATTTCCTCATCAGTATGTAGTCAGGTTCTCCAGAATCCTGTAAATGGTCTCGTTATTTCTCTCAGGTGTGTTGATGCTCAGACACATTTGGAAAATTCCCCCTTTGGTCTGGACTTTTTGTGCAGGCGTGAATATAATACAAGCAAATCCTAGAGCCGACCAAACAACCAGACCAAGACCCACTTTTTGAATTAATGTTGGCCCACTTCTAAATTAATTCTAATATGGTTTGCCTCAGATGTGAATACAGATTGGCCATTATCTGAACCAAGTATAAGAAATGTACAGCTGTTTGGACATCATGAGCCAGCTGTGCATTATGGTAAAAATGAGTTCTTCAGTGTTGCTAACCTTGCTACTGTATCCTCTGGAACGTACCTGATCCATAGTTTTTGATAAGCGACATTGTCACGTCTCGTCTCATTGAGCTTGCAGTCGAATTTGCCAATACGTTTCCAAAATTGATATCATATTGCAAAACCTGCTATGTATGAGATCCTTTTGACAGCTGCTGCAGTTTTAAAAACAGCACAAAGGCACACAACAAAAGCAACAAGCAGAACTTCCAAAGTTTGCTTTTTCCAGGTCTGTGATTATCTGTCCCGTCCCTTTTATTCCTGTCAAATGGGAGCAATGATGGTAACCAGCATGGCTTTGTTTGCATTCAAATTGTGCAAAAAAGCACAAATTGAATGCAAAATAAAGTTTGCTTTTGGTCTGGACTGCAGGACTTTCCAGGTGTGAATAAACTCTAAACGTTACAGGAAACAAAGCATTGAGGTCTTAATTTGAAGAACCCTAGTGTATGTGAATATATGTGTGTGCATGGGTGTACATATGTATAAATGTGCTGTGTTGTGGCTCTTGAAGTTCAACAGGTTTTTTGTGATGTTACTAAAACAAGACCACGATGACTCATTTCAAAGCTTTCTTTAAGGTGGCTTGCAGTTTCAAGAAAAAAATGTCAGGTATCTGATTGTTTCATTGTCATGAAGTTTCCTGACCCACATGCAGAATCACATACAGGACACAGAATGAACAATGGAAATTTTATTTCCAAACAAAGTGAAAATAAATATTTTTTTTTTAAATGTTAGTTTATATTTCAACAATGTCTGGGGAGGAGAGGAGAAGTTAGAACAGTGATAAGGTTTAAGAAGATGAGTAATAATTTTAGAGGAAGAATGAAGTAGGCTTCCAGTTCTAGGTCGGAAGAGGGATGGTTGGTGTGTAGCAAAGTTTTGTGTGCCATTAAGGTTCCAAGTAGTAGTGGTGGAAAGCGGAGCATGAGGTCCAGATGACTGCTCAGAACATTGAAGAATCAATAGGCAGGCCGAAGTTGGAAATGACGAATCGGTAGAGAACAACTGTATGTGGAATGTTATTCAGGGAACAACTGTCTCTGAGGTTCTTGGTGAATGGATTCATAGATTGGTGATGAAACCAGAAATTGGCAACTGCTCCTTTTATCCCAGAAGCTACAGAAACAATTGTGGCTAGGCGTACCAATCTGTAGCAACACAGTCACACCCTCTACATGTTTGGTCTCTGATAATGTTTTTGGAAAGAGTTCTGACCTTTGATATTAAACCTTATGAAAAAAAGATGAGGATAAAGTAGGGAGGAGAATGGGCAGAAATGATAGATGACTGCGATAAACACTTGAGTCCATCTTTAACATGTACCTATGCTGTAATTTCCAACTCTATTTTTGTCTTTTAGGGATATAACCCACTATGTTCAAAATAGATCTGTCCTTTCAAATTTATTGTCAGAGATGCAGACAGTGGTCAGCTTTTTCATAATCATAATCACGTCTACCAGAGTACAACACCTACGTTGAAATCGTCCCTGGCAGTAAATCCCCAACTGGAGAGTAAACTCTTAAAAAGAAAAAAAGATTTGTGACTTATAGAGCCTCACTTGTTAACATCAAAAAGCCACAGCCGTCCTGTGGATTTCCTGTGTGACATTTTGTTCTGTGACGACTGTAAAAACATTCTTACACTTTGCTTTAGCAAATACAGACTTGGTCTGAACACCATACTGACGTGACAAGACATGGCACCTCTTTCACTGAGTATATGTTATCATATTACAGCCACAGTTAAAGCATTTTATTCAGCTATTATGTTCTGAATTGACACAAAGAACTACATCATTGTGAAGTGGAAAGAGAATAATATACTGTTCTTTAATTTTGAAATAAAAATAAAAATTTCAATTTGAATATTTGTACAAAATATCCCATTTTGCTTTCGGCTTTCAAGGTTTGCTGAAAAATATTAGTGAGCAATTCACATCATAAAGACATAGGAACACACCAGAAATGTCAGGAATATATTTGGGGAGAAGTTGAAAGCAGAATTGGGTGATAAAGCATTATCTCATGTTTCAGATATATCATGAATGCCTTAATGTGATCATCCTAAAATTGGACTCAGGAGAGGTTGAATTCAAATGAACGCCACACTTCTCAGATATATATATATATATATATATATATATATATATATATATATGATATATAATATGATAAATATACTGTTTTCAATTTTATATATATATATATATATATATATATATATATATATATATATATATATATATATATATATATATATATATATATATATATATATATATATATATATATATATATATATATATATTATATATATATATATATATATAAAATTGAAAACAGTAAATCAATTTTCTTTCTTCTTCAGAATATTGGACTAGTTTGTACTGATTTATTACATATTTACATTTTTCCTTGCAGTATCTCATTAGAGATTAAATGTGATGGATTTTCCACATTTAATTTCTCTGCTATTGACAAGTCGTGGTGTGGTATGTATTTTAGAAGCATAATTAATTGACTCCAGGACTAAAAATGAAACCAGTCTACAGATTATGATGTAGGCATTAAAACCACTAATATAAGTAGCTACAAAACTGGCCCTCTGGATTAATGTGTTGGTGTGCTTTTGAACATTTGCTTAAAATTCATGGCTCATATTTGACAATAGAATGGAAAATAAGGGGGTGTAAGAGAAATTCTGCAGTATTTGTTTTGATCTTCCTGTTTCCCGTAGCTTTCTGGTATTTCATGACATGAGTTCAGCACATGAGAAATGAAACTCTCCAAAAGCCAAAAGTTCCTCATGCTCTCCTCAAAAGTAAAGTTGCCTCAACTTAGTGGGGGCCCATTTTTAGTTTCTCCTTTTTATGTCTGTATTAATTTGTGGATGGAAAAAAAATGTTTGCTAAAATAAAAATTGAAGCATGTTGTTTGAGAGATATTCAACATGCCCAATGAGACACATTTAACACTGACGACTGGTAAGGCTGATGTCTAAAAACTGAATTGGAGTGCATTATAGACCTTGTTTTGAGCTTGAAAGATTTCAGGTGTTAAATTTTGCTATGATGAATATGCACACAGCATACATTTTCAGCAACCTAATATATGCACCCTCTGCCATGACCATGAAAGCATCACAACCACAAAAGTCACACCATATTTCAGGTGTAGAGCTGTGAGTCCATAGCAACACAAACATTGCATCAAACCGTTCTTTGAACTTTCATGTAGTTATGTTTTGAGGTAACTAAAATAATACATGTAACATAAAACACATTTATTTCTAGATTAAATAATGTAAACGGACATCATGCTTGTCTTTGATGAAAGATCCTGTTTGGCAAAATCTGTTGTCCAAACTGGAGATGTGTGGAAAAATTTCCTTCTCTGCTTCTCTCGCTCTTTTAAAAAAATGAGGAATGAGTGAAAGATGCTACTCTTTGTCTTCATACAAAGAGGGTTTGTATGAAGACTTCCATTAAGTAAACAGCACTTGTGGCCTGGGAAATAGTAGATGCCACAAGTAGGTCATAAACTCTTCGGTTAGATGCTCGCTTGAACTAGAGCAGTGTGCTCTCATTCCAGAAAACAAGTGAAGAAACGAAGCATGTTGGTTGACTCATGTTTCCACAGCGACGAAGCAATGCCAGTGCACCTCATCATCTTTTGGAACTGCAGCAGCATTTATAGAAAGATATCTTCTTTATGTTAAATGTTTTGAAATTGTATTTCAAAAGTATTTGGTAATTCTGATTGAGTTGAGTTTTGAGTTGTTTGACATGAATGACACAAATTTTGTTTTCTGAATTTTTCTGTAAGTTTGATGTAATGTTCTCATCTTCAGTGTTGTGTTTTTATTAGCTGTGACCAAAAAAAACGCCATAATTAACAGAAATAAAATCATCATAATTAATAGAAATAAAGCCTGAAAGCAAAATGCTTTGTGCATTCAATCTATATACTTTGAGAATAGAGCTGCTGAAAGAAATTAACTTTTCAATAACGTTACAATCAAATGAAAATAAAAGCATATATTACAAAAGTAATCCAAGTCCTTGAACTATTTCAGTCTGAAACCACAAACTTTAATGTGTTATATTTTATTGAGATTTAATGAATTAATATGTGAAAATGCAGAAGGAATGGGATAAATCTAGAACTAAAACTCTGTTATGTATGCATTCAATCATGTAATAACCATAAACTGCTTTCTGTGCACAATATTGGCTTTAAAAGTCATCTACTTAGAGTTAATTTGTGTACAGTTTTATTTCAGTGATAATGTAACTGTGAAGGCCTCCAATGTTTGTCAGTGAACTTTAGTGAATAAATGACATCATAACGGCCAATAACCACATCAGTCAGGCAGAAATTTGAGGACACATTTAAATCAAAGTTTGTTTATAAAATATCATAAGCACTGAGCATCTCTCTTAAAATTGTTCAATCTATCATATGAAAATGGAAATAATGTAGTACAACTGTAAATACTTGACCATTTTTAATTTTCCTATTTCATCTATATTAAAACAGTTTGTGAAGTTTGCCAATTTTAATGATTGCAGTTGAACTCGACCCTGCAACAGATGTCCAAGTGATCTATCTCCTTCTAGTGTATCATCACGTGTTTAATCTACTCGGAGTTTTGGTTTTTGTAGAACAAACTTTGAATCTAGAAAAACTACCTTAACAGTTTTGGACTCCTATTCTTCCAACCCAGAAAAGGAATTAGACCAGAGGATACATACTTATACTTATCCACCAACCCTGAATAGGAGTTTATCTAGTTTATATAAACTATAAATTCACATAACAGTGTATTATAGAATCGTGATCCACATTGTCTAAGCACTTATGATTACATACTTTAGATTACTGTTAGCGTTTTTCTTCTTTTGCTTTTCCCTTTGGTTTGTTATTTTTTTCTAATTCCTGCAAAGCACTTTGTATTGTCTTGCTGCTGAAATTATGCTACATAAATAAAATTACCTTTACATTCACCTTGAGCGATCATCACTGTTTCTGTAGTGCTGGGAATGGTCAGTGGCGCCATCTGTTGGTCATAGCTGAATAAAGAAAAACAGACAAGTGGTACAAAAGGCTACACACTGAAGCATGGGTTTGTTGGGAGCAGTGATGGTTATAATATTGCAGCTCCCGGGAAGAAGGACCGGTGCTAACACTGCTTTGTGCATCTAAGATACAGCAGTCTGTCACAGTTCAGTAACAGCTTCTTCCATGGGAAGAGAAACATAATTTATCAATTAATTTATATTAGCCAGAGTCCTTCTGTCTTCAACCATTTCTACTTGTTGAGGAGGCATCCTGGGATACAGCTGACCTGTATTATTTAACCACCTCCTCTTATCTGTTGATATGCTGCTGCTCCAACAGACAAAATCACAGAAGATGGCTGATATTGATACCGTCTCAGAATTGAAAAAGTACATAAGCAGAACGTTTTCATCCATCAGTGCATTGATGGACTCCTTACACATCTACTTTGTTAAGAGAATGTTTCTGGGGCTTCACAAGGGGGAGCTTGACAAGGGCTGTCATTCATACAGGAACAAAGAAGGTTTTTAAGCACATCCAAAACACATCTTTGAAGCATAGAATATTTCTGAGGTCATGCCTTTCTTTTTATATGTCTGTTTTTAAAAAGGAGCCATTAGTTTTCAAGACCTCCATATCCACGAGAGGGTGGTGTTTTGAAATATACAACTTCGTTCCTTCTTTTTATTACGATTCACAGCAATGTTGTGCATTAATGATATAAGCTCTACATTTATTGGGAGAGATTTAGGAAAATAGTAATGACATGACATGAATGGAGTCTTAAAGGAATATTGGACACTGAAGAAAATCAAGAGTAAATGTATGTAGTAAGGGAAGCATTATTTATTTATCTTCTTGATACAACAAAAAATTAATATAAGTTAATGTTATTCATGTACAATAGGTGGCGGTATGAACCTAAAGATTGCTTGTGATCCGCCATTGCAGTAAAGAAGAAGAAGGAAGAAGAACCCGGAAACGGATTATCCCAGCGGTAAGACAAACTTAGTTCGCGCTGTAACCTTACTTGTGTTATTCCTCTCTGTCCATGGAATAACTATTTTATTGTTTTAACAGAGGTTTGGGGCTGTTTGACCTGAAAGAAAGTCGGGTGAGTCTTCGTGGCTTAAAAGAAAACAAAAGTGGGCCTAACAACTGGTTGGGATCAAGAAGCCTGAGAACATGGAGGAGGAAATGTTCGAGGACACTTTGCCTCTCCGGCAGGACCTGACGTGTCCTGTATGTCAGGGGATCTTCAAGGACCCTGTCCTGCTGCCGTGTTCCCACAGCTTCTGTCGGGAATGTCAGCAGAAAAGCTGGCAGTTCAACAACCGGACGTGTCCCGTCTGCAGAGTTCCCTACGTGGAGGGCAGCGCTATCAGTAACCGAGCCCTCAACGACGCCTGCGAGAGCTTCCTCAAGCAGAACAGTCTGCGGCCCGTCCAGGTCCAACTCAGCGAGGAGCTCTGCAACCTGCACCTGAAACCGCTGGGGCTGTACTGTGAGAAGGACGAGGAGCCGGTCTGCGTGGATTGTGTCTCCCAGCACGTCGGACATAGGCTGTGGTCCCTGAAAGAAGGCACATCCATATGCAAAGTAAAATCGCCTGTTTTCTTTACTGAAGCTCAGACAACGTGGATTACTATTCTATAATATACTGTTAAATTAATTTGCAAGACATAATAAACGGAGGAATGACAATATAGTCATTTCTCCATTTATGTATACTAAGGCCTAAAGGTTTTTTTTTTCAAATGTGCATAAGTGTGAAAAACAATATTGATTTTTACTCGAACTTAAAGAAGATGAAAGTACATTAGAACTGCAGAGTATTTAACAATTGCAATATTCATATGGCAACGTAATGTTAGGAGATTAATAATTGTTGAATAATATCCTCAGTGTTAAGAATATGAATTATATGGTAATATTTAGTCTTGAGTTTTACCAAAAGACACAGAATGATGGAAGCACAGATGAAAAAGAAGAATTAAGAAAATGGGCAAATATGAGGCTTTGCTACAGTTATCTTTTACCTAAAAATAATAATTGAGGCAATCATCCTGGTACACAAACCTGTTTAACAGGAGTAAAAACTGCCTGGAGTAATACTCAATTCAGACCTGTTCAGCTGAATTCCTTTACATGCGCGGGCATATTTTGTTGCTCTGGAGCACATTGTGTTAAACTGAAGGCCCATGGGCCAAATCCGGCCTAACCCAATGATTTCTGAGGCCCTGTTTACTCTAACGATTATATTGTAATAATTTATTAATAAATAGTTTTATCAAGACATTCTGCCACCACCACTGGCCCACTGATAATATTCTAAATCTTGATGTTAATTAGATTATATCTATTAAGATGCAGTGAGTCTAAACTGAAGTAAACATAATATTTATGTCTTTACTAAAGGCTGTTCTCTTTGTGCTTTTTCAGACGGAGCTTAGCTTCAAAGTTCAGATTTTTGAAAAGAAAGTGGAATTGCACAAAAAAATGACCAAGAAGTTTAGCAATGCAATGGAGTATGTCAAGGTAAGGTTACTGTCACGGTGCTCATGTTACAATTCATGGGAAAAAAGTTTGAATAATGATTCATAAGACTCAGACAAAACGGTTTTCATAACAAAACGAATTAGACTGACACAGATGCAGATTGGTTAGAATTAAGTGATATTTTTTCTTTACGAAAGTAAAAATTGTAATTCTACAATTTTCCATTGTCGATAACAGAACAAATTGCATACACTGTTTTATTTTTTTCTCTCTTGACTCATCACAGCATCAGGCTTCGGAAGCAGAGAAACTGATCAAGGCAGAATTTGAGCGACTCCACATCGTGCTTCACCAGGAAGAAGCCAAACGACTGGAAGCTCTGTCCATTGATGAGACGGAAAAGATCGAAATTATGCAGAGAATGATTAAGGAGACAGAGAGGGAAATTAAAGAATTAAAGGGCCTCATTGACACGATGAAGAAAGAGATGGGAAATGAGGATTTGGCCCTCCTGAAGGTAACAGAGGCAGCTTGTTTTGCCATCTCATTTCGAGTTTTTTTTATTTTTTATTGTAAAACCTGCTTCAAGGCTAATTTCCAACTCCTACCCTTTCTGCTGTTTTTCTTTATATTACAGAATTTCCAGAATGTAAAAAGACAGTAAGTCATGGCCTTAATATGTGGTGGAATCTCAGTATGTAAACACAAATACATTTGATTGTTTTGGGTTTTTAAAAAAATTAATTTCTTTTACAGAGCCCAGTGGGTTGAACCCGATCCATCCTTTCTTTATGATTGCCTCATAAACATGGGGAAGCATGTTGGCTCTCTGGGCTTCAACATATGGAAAGACATGAAGGATCATATCAAATACTGTAAGCATAGTTTCATAATTTGGGTTTTATTCAAGTAAAAACCATGGGAGGAAGTGAAACATCCGTCAAGTTGTTTGAAGGAAATGTTGTTTCTCGTTGTCTGTGCAGATCCAGTGGTGCTCGACCCAAACACAGCTTCCCCGTGGCTGTCCCTGAGCCCTGATCTTACCACCATGAAGGAGAGCTCAGAGCGGATGACCGTTCCTGACAATCCAGAGCGCTTTGATCCCATCGTCTTCGTCATGGCGACTGAAGGATACAAAACTGGTAAACACAAATGGGACGTCAATGTCGGTGACAACCCCAAGTGGATCCTGGGAGTGTGCAAAGAGGTTTTGACCCGTAAAAAGAAGTTCACGGTCTCCGCAAGTCGTGGCGTGTGGGCCCTAGGGCTCAGTAAAGGGGTGTATACCGTCCACACTGATAAGCGTACAGAGATAATGGTGCCGCAAGGTCCTGAAAAAATACGCATCAAGCTAAATATGGATAAGGGCGAGGTGTCGTTCTGGGATTCGGGCAGAGAGAAGCACTTGGTCACTCTTACACACAAGTTTGAAGGGAGAATATTCCCAATTTTTGGGCCTGGGCTTCATACTACTCCTATGGTTCTGGTTCCTGGAAAAATAGCTGTACACACATGAGCGGCCTCCTCCCCAAAGTATCACAAAAAGATTCAAGTTGATCAAATGTTGGATGAATTTAACTCTAAATTTATTGAAAGAAAGCTTTTGATGCAAAGTTAGTGTCTGTACACCTTACCAAATAAGATTGCTATGGGAAAAAAATCTGAATTGAATTAAAGAAAATTGAGATTAGTTTGCTATTGCTGCTAAATGTTTTTTAGACTATGCCAGACATCTTCAAGCGTAATGCTTTACTTCTAAATCTTGCATCAACTGGATTTTGATGACAATTAAGAATTTTGTTTAGAACCTATTTGTGTGTAAAGTAAAACTCGCTGTTTAAGGTTCTTGTTAAAAATGAAAAGCAGTTTTGCCTCTGCCTTTTTCAAAATAAATGATTATGCAGCAAAAGTAAGAAAATGAACAAGTGACCATATTAACTATAATTGCATATTAAAAGCTAAGAAGACACTTAGCTTTCAATATCTGTTTTTGTTTTTGTGTTTTTGCCAATTCAAAACTGCATACTTGCCTTTTTACTCGTCTTGGTGTTTGTTTCAATCCTTAGATATTTTTTCCTTTATTTTTTTTAATCAAAATTCTGCGTTTCAAATCTTGGCAGATTCAAGATTTAATTTCATTTTAATCATTTTGGGTTTTTTTTGTTTTTTTTTTAAGTGGTTTTTTAAACAACGTCTGTGTTAGCTTGATCAGAATTGATTGTATTAGGAAGCTCGTGTTCTTCACTTTTTCACCTGACTATGATGTACAGAAACAGAAGAGTAAAATGAATCAGAATGCAGAAAATGTTATCTAATACTTCAATGAACTGGGTTTTGTCTCATACTAATTATATTTCAATTTTCTAAAATATGCTTCAAATGTATTTTAAAATACATGAGTGTTATGATAAGTTACCTTACTCTTCATATTTTTTTCTTTATATAGTCTCTTGGTATAATTTTTTTCACATTTTGTTAAAATTTACACTATTATGTTTTAAAATGTTCTTTTTATCTCATTAAAGGACAAATACAGACTGTTCCTCTGGATTCATGATCCCTTCTTTGTGTGTAAAGTAAAACTCGCTGTTTAAGGTTCTTGTTAAAAATGAAAAGCAGTTTTGCCTCGGCCTTTTTCAAAATAAATGATTATGCAGCAAAAGTAAGAAAATGAACAAGTGACCATATTAACTATAATTGCATATTAAAAGCTAAGAAGACACTTAGCTTTCAATATCTGTTTTGTTTTTGTGTTTTTGCCAATTCAAAACTGCATACTTGCCTTTTTACTCGTCTTGGTGTTTGTTTCAATCCTTAGATATTTTTTCCTTTATTTTTTTAATCAAAATTCTGCGTTTCAAATCTTGGCAGATTCAAGATTTAATTTCATTTTAATCATTTTGGGTTTTTTTTGTTTTTTTTTTTAAGTGGTGGTTTTGTTAAACAACGTCTGTGTTAGCTTGATCAGAATTGATTGTATTAGGAAGCTCGTGTTCTTCACTTTTTCACCTGACTATGATGTACAGAAACAGAAGAGTAAAATGAATCAGAATGCAGAAAATGTTATCTAATACTTCAATGAACTGGGTTTTGTCTCATACTAATTATATTTCAATTTTCTAAAATATGCTTCAAATGTATTTTAAAATACACGAGTGTTATGATAAGTTACCTTACTCTTCATATTTTTTTCTTTATATAGTCTCTTGGTATAATTTTTTTCACATTTTGTTAAAATTTACACTATTATGTTTTAAAATGTTCTTTTTATCTCATTAAAGGACAAATACAGACTGTTCCTCTGGATTCATGATCCCTTCTTTTCTGGATGACAATATTTTCACCAATCGGTACATTATTAAAGGCTTCACAATTGATTTTAGCACTGATAATTTAAAATTACTCATCCATTCATTTTAAATACGCTGTTATTCTTGCCGGTGCATTCTTAGAGCCAAACTACACCTTGGACAAGTCTAACACACTGAAATCTGAGGGTAATCTTAAAGAGACAAATTAATCTACACGCATATTTTTGCACTGGGAGGAAGCCGGAGTCTGAAAAGAACCCAAGCATGTTTTCATATAGTTCCATGTTAACTACAATGGAAGCTTTCTATGTGATAGACCAGCACAAGCAATTAAATAATTCTGACCAATAGACAATGTTTTGTTTTACAAATAGGAATCTGAAAAGTTTAACTTGATTTGAAGTCTGTACTTTGAACAATCACATTTCACTACAATTACGGTCACAAGTCTGATGTCTGTCTATCAACATTAAAATTCTGGTAACTGAATCGAGCCGATTCTTCTTGGACTCAATCTTAGTCACAATGGCTGCATAAGATCTGCTATAGTTTTTTTTTTTTTTTTTTTTTTTTTTTAATCAAGCTTGCCACAGATTCTCAAATGGTTTTAGAACTGAACTTAGATCTAATGGTTCTAAATGGTTAGAATTATTTATTCTAACCAATGAATAATTATTCATTAATCATTTTATCTGTTTTCTCTGACCAGAGCACTTTCCATATGTTACTTCCTGATATGTGTATTGATGCAAGAAGGATTTACTGTGGCTTATTTTCCTACAGCATCTTTCTCCTGTCAGTCATCCATAAAGGCTGGATTTGTAAAGTACACAATAATTGTGTTGATATGCTGAGCTGTGGATCTCCAGATTTACCAAGGGCCCCTACGGTGAGATTGAATTACAGGCAGATTCTCTTTACTAATTAGGGGCCATCTGAATGGAAATATGACTGCAGAGGATTAATGAGTATCGAAGTAAAGAAAAGTTATTACAAATGCATGCCACAATTTCAAGATATTTTTTGTGAAATAACTGAAATAAATAGATGTTTAGTCTTATCAATAAATCCAAGACAGTGTCATAAACAAACTGCTCTCGACTCACTGTGTGGCTCTTTGTTGCACAACTTAATCTGACCTTTTAAAAACTAAACGTTGCTTAATCCATTAAATCCCTTGTTAATGCAGTGAACAAGGCTTCTGTCCAGATGTTGAACGTTGTCCTCCATCTCCACTGGATGGCAGTGCTTTTACAAGCAACCTGCAGCTCAGTCTTTGTGCTGGAAACCTCTGGCCACAGCTACCCAGCCATAAATACCAAAACAATGGCACTGAGCTCTATACCAGGCGGCTGACAGGGTAAAGGCGTTTAAAAACGTAGTGTGGGTTTGTGGTGGAGATGTTCCATAGCCGGGCGATTGGCTTCCCTTACAGAAGAGCATCGAATATCATAACAACGTAATTACTGCAAGGGTTCTCTGCGGCCACTGACGCATCTGGATTTAACAGAGCTCCGTGTTGCAGCCTCTATTCTCTGCAGCGATATACGCTCCGCTGCGGTTAGCCAGTCGAGCTAGTTTCGCCAAAAAGGACAGGTCGACTCATGCGGCTGCTTGCCTTATAATACCCTTCGACAATGTAACTCATTATGCAATCAAAGAGACGGGAACTGGTAAGTATGGTCTTAAAAATTTTATAATCAACGCGAAGACGGCCCCTGGTAATTAACGGTTTTCTGTCGGCTAGCTTAGCAACACCTTTCCCGATAGCCTTGTTATGATAGTCTCCAGAGTTCTTCCTTTTTAGAAATCCTTTTCATGAACCCTTCTCTCTGTTTTATGGGTAAAATTTGTGCAGTGGAGGGAGGTGTGAGGCTTCTCGTTGCGTTTTTGTTTGTTTTTAGCCCGTTATAGCCGTTGTTGCATCTAGGGTTAGCATGTAGCTACATAAAAATAGTTTTTTTTTCCTCCAGAAGCCTGTGCGTCTTGAAGAGCAAATATGGGAGTTTGTTCGTATATTTTTGTGAATGCCAGAGTAATGCTGAGCGTTCTGACGCAAACTGATATCCGGCAAAATTATCGGCAAAATTGCGCAATCAAGACGGTGTTTTCAGGACCCCTTTAAATATTTCACACCTCATATTTGATGATGGCTTTCATTTGTCAGCTGTCTTATCCAGACTTAAGTTTGTGGTGGATCGTGATCTTTATCAAGGAAATCTAAATCCAAACTTACTGTATGTGTATCATGTTTTGATAGAAATTAAAACAAGGCATTCTCCTTTCAGGCAGTGCCAGAGATGGCCTCCCCTTTTCCTGTCTCCGTTGTCATTCTGGTGGTCCTCCTGTCAGCTGAGTCACCTGTGTGCCAGGCAGGGGACTGCAAGGGCCACAGGCAGGTGCTGAGGGGGCTTCCCGGTTATGTGACTGACGGACCGGGAAACTACTCTGTTAATGGGAACTGCGAGTGGCTTATCAAAGGTAGAGTTGATGCAAATTGTTGTGCTTATCAGTCACATTACACACTCCATAGGAAAAGGTAATCATAGACCTAGAACTGTTTCAAATTTTGAGACATTACAGCTTAATTTTGATATTTATGTGATGGAGGCATTCACAATGGATGAAGGAAGTGAAGAACAGAGTGATTTGTGGAAGAAACCCTGTTTGTTCCTGCAAAAATACTTACAATGTTGCAGTTTAGATCAAAGCCTATTCATGTTAGTATGACCCAAAGGTCTAGACCTAAATCCAGTTGAGAACCTGTTCCATACAATACATCAACAGGCCAGACTTCTCAGATTTTTATTTGTAAACAAAAAAAAAAAAGAATCTTGTATTAATTTTTTAATTGTGATGCTTGTGGTTGTGTTTTTTGGGTTGTGGGTTGGATGTGGTGGAAGCGTTCATGCAAGACTCTTACATTACCAAGTATTAGACTGAGCAATATTTTCTTCTCTCTCTCAGCTCCCAGCAACGGTCATCGAATTGTGTTAAATTTCACCTTTATGGACACAGAGTGTACCTACGACTATCTGTTTGTGTACGATGGCGACTCCTATCAAAGCCCACTTCTTGCCAGTCTGAGTGGAAACTCTTTGCCTGAACCCATTGAGGCTAAATCTGGCAAGGTAACTGAATAGAAATAACATGTTATTTGCTGGGATTCTTTTTTTATACAGATGTAGCAGATGTTAACATATGTTTGTTTTCTTCTTCCAGATGCTTATTCACCTCTTCAGTGATGCTAATTACAACCTTTTGGGCTTCAATGCAACATACACCTTCTCTGTTTGTCCTGGAGCCTGTGGCGGCCATGGGCGCTGTGATTCCTCTACATCCAAGTGCCACTGTCACCAGGGTTGGGGCGGAGCATCATGTACAGCTCCTCTGTGTTCCCAGGCTTGTTCTTTGAATGGACAATGTGACAAGGTAAGAAGAAAGCACATGATTTTATGACCACTCTAACAACCTCTTATTAGCCAATTCTTCAATTGTATTCAGTGAAAAAGTCTAAAGTAAATCCTTCTGTTTTTATGACTTTAAATGTTTCGTATTTCTGGTTTTGTTTCAGAAAGGAGAACGTTGTCAGTGTAACCCTGGCTTCCTTGGCCACAGCTGTCAGCTGGGTCTCCGTGATGATAAGGGGCCGGGACAGTGGTGGCGTGTGAGTGAGGGAAACCCCAACGCACCTCCAAGGACAGGCTCTGCTGGCGCGTACCTGTCCTCTACTGGAGCCATGTATTTGTTTGGAGGTTGGTGCAACCCACTGCCACTGTTCATTAATTGGAATTAAATATTTACAGAGAGCAAATTCTGCTTTTGCTCACTATTTTTTCACAGGCTTTTAAGTTACTTGTCTTCTACTGTTTCTTCATTCTTACCTTTATTATAGTTTCACTTGAATCACAGATTATGTCTTAAATATTGTGTTAAGCATTGATATTTTGCAATATCTAAATCTTTGTTTTAGGTGTTTGTCCTGTTTGTAGTATACAGTCATATTTAATTATTGAGAATATTCATGTTCATTTATTTCAGTAACTTCATTCACTAAGTGAACATTAAGGCTTGTTTTTAATATGAAAAACAAACCTAATGAGAACTTATAATTTTCACTGTTAGAAATTTATTTTCATACTTTTTTTCTTCTATGTGCAGGATTTGATCTGAACAGAGCTCTTGGTGACTTGATCAAGTACAATTTCACTTCCAACCAATGGGAAAGCAGATCTTATGGTCATTCCCCTGTAAGTGCTTTTTTAATATGTAAACATTAAATATTTCAAAAGAGACTATTTAACAATGCATTTTAAAATCTGTCTTACATGTGATATTTTGTTTTTTAAAATCATGATTATCATCTTTAGTGTAAAGTGATCCATCATTAATATGCACCTTGATGTCTCTTTAATTGAACAGACTAAATGCTTTGTGAACAAAGGTGAACATGAGCTCTCCATAAATAATCCAATAATAAACTAAACTTAATTGCATTCAAATAAAAAAATGTATGTACGATCAAGCAAAAGCTGATAGAACGTCTGCATGAAATGTTTGAATTTTTTTTTCTCATTTTTAAACTCTCCTCTGTAAGCTGGCTCGTCACTCCCACACTGCTGTACAGTACATGGGTAATATGGTTATCTTTGGAGGAGAACTTGCTAATGGATCCCTGGCCAGTGACGTCTGGATGTACCGGCCTGTCCAGGATGATTGGCAACAACTCGGTTTCTCCCACTCACGCGGCGCTCCCAAACTGGCCAATCATGCTGCAGCAGTCGTCGACACCTATCTCTACATTTTTGGCGGTGAGGACAATATCCCTGCCTCACATTGCTGTGTGTGCTGAAATTGAGATTATATTTTGAGAAATACATCTTACCTCTGCCGTTGCACCAGGTCGCACTGAGGAGGACATGTTTTCCTCGACTCTGTATCGCTTCGGTTTACACGGTTCAGGACGATGGGAAACAGTTCAGCCCACCGGTGGGAAACCCCCTGCCTCTGCTGGCCACTCTATGGTGTTCCACAGCCCATCCAGGACTTTGTTGGTCTACGGAGGCCACAGGCCGACGACTGCAAGGTACACACCTCCTCATATGCGCTTGGCATTATTTTAAATTTTATTAAGGAGTAAGAGAAAAGTAGAACTGCTACCAGCAACCTTTCATATTCAAAATTTTGTCAAAATTAGTGTGTATTTTTCAAGTTAAAGTAAAAAAGAACAACAACTAAGCATCGCATTGAATTCTCGCATTGATTATTAAGCAACATGATAAACCGATATTAAACCACAAAGAATAGCTGTGCTTAATCATTTTGTAAATTTTCTTAAGGTTCAGCGTGCGGGTCAACAACACCGACGTTTTCCACGTGGACAGGCGGTTTTGGACATCCTTCCGTTCCCGTTTTCCAACCACTGGGCCCAGAGAGAGAGCTTTCCACACTGCCACGGTCATTGGAAACTACATGGTGGTCTATGGTGAGAAAGAGTACAATTAGGAAACATGAAATAGTTTGATTTGAGCTTCTTTTGTATTCATTTAGCTTTTTGCCCTTTTTCACCAGGTGGAAATGTGCATATTCATTACCAGGAAGAGAAATGCTATGATGAGGAAATCTTTTTCTATCATTTGGGCTGCCACCAATGGGTGTCTTCTGGGGAGAGATGGTCATCCAGTCAGTAACTCTGTTTTTTTCCTCTCTTCTTTTCTTCCTATAGGCTTTTACCACCTGTGGACATTTATTGCATGCATTTTTTTGTATTTTTCCTAAGATGGTGAAGCTGTGAGGGGGCGGTATTCACATGTTGCAGCAGTGATGGAAGGACGTGTGCTGCTGGTTGCTGGTGGTTACAGCGGTGTTTCCCGGGGAGATCTTGTGGCTTACAAAGTGCCGCTCTTTGTTAGTAGTGATCAAGGCGACAGGGTGAGTCAAAGTGCTCGACAGCAAATTAATATAGAGTAATATGAAGTAAAAACTGGAGAGAAACAGAATGAAAAGAAAAACAACATTTAATCCAACTTCCTTTTAATGTAGGACGCTGTTTGTGCCGAGGCGCTTGATGAAAGCATGTGCCTGAAGAACCCAGAATGCAGCTGGTGTGAAGGCCGCTGTCGAGAGTACCAGCCCACCAATCCGGTAACATTTCCCTCAGAACGATTTCTGCAGTTGTTTATTTTTACAAGATTTTAACCTTTTATCAGTTGGGCCTCATTGGTGATCAGAAGACTAAATGTTAAAACATTTTTTTAAATTATTTTTGGCATCAGAAATAAGAACTCACAAAATTAAATTATCTATAAATCCATCAACCTAAACTTTGCCTTTATTTCACTTTTTATAGCTTAATATTAAGTGTAATAAAAATCAGATAAAGCAAGGAGACATAAAGTTTGACCATGGGGATAATCTCAGAGATAATCTGTACATATGTTTGATTCAACTAAATTATTAGCTCTATCAAAGAATCCAACGGGTATTTTCTTCACTCTTATGTGTTTTGATCCTTAAAATGAAATAAGAATCAGTCCAAATCATAATTAGCAGACCAGACATCAAAAAAAAAAATCTTGTTCCTCTATCTTTTTGTCTGTGAATGCTTGTCTATATTTCCTTTGTATAACATGAATTTTCTGCTCACAGTGTGGCAGCACTGGGTGCTTGGGCCTGGCTCGCTTCCTGTCCGACTGCCAGTCCTGCCTTGTGTTCAGCGGCACGCCGGCTTCCCTTGCGCGAGCCCCCGGAGAATTTGGCTGGTGTGTTCAGAACGAGTCCTGCCTGCCAGTGTCAGGTGAGACGTAAGAAGGGAGGAAGGAGGGCAGAAGAGAGGGAACTAAAAGATGTTGGGAGCTGACATGGGAGGGACGAGCCTTCTGTGTGATCGTGTTGCTCTGGTGGAGTTCAGTAACTTGACAGCGCTCAACTGTGATTGGACAGGCTGCTCAGATGCTGATTTGGCTTGTCTGTCCAATCACGGTGTATGATCACGTCATTTTACTCCCAGAAAGCACAACACACAAAAGTCACAAATTTACATTTCAGTACAGTAGTGAACTATAAGAAACTGCTGTATAATTAAAGTTTTAAGAGGTCAGATGTGTTACTTGTGTGCTGACCTCTCCCTCTCGGTCTCACAGAGCGAAGTGCGTGCCGTGTGGACCAGATCTCAGGGGCGTACGGCTGGTGGGGGGAGCGTACCCGTTTCCTAACCTCCCTCCACTCCTGTCGCACCGAGAACTATGTCCCGGGACTGCACCTGCTCACCTTCCAGCACCCCCGCAACGACTCCCAGCCTGACAAGGTACGGAGTCTAAATCTCAACTGCTCACTCTTCTGGATGTGGTTGTAACTCCTTCCCTCTCTGTTTACACCTAATCCTCCTTCCTTCCTTTGAGACTGTGACTCATCTGCTGTTCTCCAACTTTTTTTATAATAACACCTCTATAATCTATAGTTATACTGAACTCTTTTATTTTTATTTTTTTCTTTGTTTTGCATAGACATGCCTTTATCCCAAATAGTTACACACATGTGGAGCAGTTTATAGAGAATAGTGCTTCTGTTGATGTGTTTCCACTTCCACCCACCCCTCCACTATCCTCCATCCGCTTCACCCCTCCGCCAGGTATCCATCCTCCGCAGCACCAACATCATTCTTAGCCCCACCACAGAAATGGATGTGGCCCTACAGTTCAAGGGCTTCATCCACCCCCTGTGGGGAGGGCCTCCACCTGCACCTCCTCCCACAGAGACCGTCTTCATATGGGCTCGCATCCAGAGGCTCCACTTTGAGGCTCGAGTGGCATCAGGACCTAACTCCACCCAAATGGTAAGGACAACAGCTTTGGAGCCACAAATGGCTCTTAGTAAGTTTGGCTAAAAATGAAAAAGAACCAAATAAATATAATTTAGATCTAATAACAAATGCGGGTTTGTAACATTTTTTTCTTTTTCAGTTCACTCTTGCAATATTTGCATTTGAAACTTTCCATGCCACAGATCCATCCTCACTTTGCAAAATTTTATGTTTCTCTTTATTTTAAATCCTAAACGTAGAAATAAAATGGTGGTTCTTTAAAATGGTAACAAATTTCCTTATGCTTACTTCAGAGTTTCAGCACTGGCCTCATTTAACTTCTGACTTGCGTTTTATATAAAGCCCAGCTGTACAAGTGATATTTTATGAAAGCTACAGTCATATTTACATGCCTGTGTGTAGTTTTGCTCTCTTGGCTAACAACAATACTGAGCATTTCAAAAGCATTTCTATTCCTTAATGTTTTAATGTATTTTACAATTATGCACAGCTTTTTGTTGGCCTATCACATACAGTCCCATTTAAATACATTGAGGTTTGAAGTTGTAATGTAACAAAATGCAAAAATGTACGAATATGTAAACTATTCTGTTGAATTATAAAATGATAGGATTTAATTAACTTGCTGTCCAATTGAAGGAGGTGGTGGGTCGCTGGGCAGCCCAGCAGGAGAAGGAGCTGAAGCTGCTGGTCCGACCAGATGGAAATAGACTCTTCTCCAACCTGACCAGAGGGAACCATTACCTCGTTCAAGCCGAAGGCTACCTTAACAACTCTGGCTCTGGACAGACGAGTGAGATGGCCCTGATCTGGAACAGAACATTGCCTGGAGGGAGTGTAAGTACTATTAATACCTCAACTTTCATGGACCAGTAATGTTGTAAAACCTGTAACTATAGGAATGATTGTGTTTCTTGTAAAATTCTACGCAAATAAATTCCACAAGTTCATTTTGCTAAGGTAGATTAAAAACCAAATATCCTTCCCCTCCAGGAGATTTCCTTCCTGTTCCTAGAGCCGTATCGCTCTGGTTCCTGCTCGGGTTACATGTCCTGCCTGGCCTGCCTGTCTGACCAGTCGTGTGGCTGGTGTCCGTCTCTGTCCCGCTGCCTGCTGCGAGACAGCCTAGACCTGGAATACTGTCCCGAGACAGAAATGGTCGAAGGCAAAGGAGACAGTCAGCGCCATCTGCTGTTGGCACCACAGCACTGCACTCTGTGTGAGGATTACAGAGATTGCTCTGCATGTACTCAGGTATGAAACAAAATGGTACCTTACAGAACATTGCTGTTGTGGCTGACTCTTCTGCAAATATGTAGATAATTTAGATATTTTTATAATATTGCGATCTAACTTTGGCCCACAGGACCCTTACTGTGAGTGGCAGATTAACTCCAGCAAGAAAGGCGACTTTCAGTGCAGCCGTAGAGGAAGGTTGGAGGGATCCATCCGCGACTCAAACGGGTGTCCTAAAGTCTGCAACCAGTGAGCAGAAAGACTAAAATATAAATTATTGCATAATTTCATCTGGAATTTGTGATTTATCACAAATGGATTTCTACTTTTTGTTTCAAAGGAGAAATACATGCAGTGAGTGTCTGTCCAACTCCAGTCAGTGTGCATGGTGTGAATCTGCCCAAGCTTGCTTCTACTTTGCTGCCTACCTCACAAAATATCCCTACGGAGAGTGCAGGGACTGGTACGACAGGTAAAACAAAGACACTCAGCTAAAATCTTGAGCAATTGCTGGATTTACTACTCACCCAACATAATATCGAATAATGTCTTTGTAATTAGTTTCTAATTGAACGTAATTTGCGTATTTACACCTCTTCGACGCATATCTGAATATTTCGTATGTGAGATTAACTTGTGTGTTTACTGATTTGTTCTCTTCTTGATCCTCAGTGTCCATTCGGTTCCTCAATGTAAGCAGTGTTCAGCTTTAAACACGTGCACAGAGTGCCTGAGAACATTTCAGTGTGGCTGGTGTGGTGACTACAACAATCCCACAATTGGAAAGTAAGAATGGCCTATTATAAATAGGAGATGTTATTGTGAAAAAAGGATTAGATTTGTGGAAGTGGAATAGACTCTGCATTAATTTTAATCATAGGTGTGCGAAAAGTCATGTGTTTTTTGTTTTTCTGTGCTTGTTTTAGGTGTTTGAGGGGAGACTGGGCAGGAATGGATGATCCATCTGTGTATAACTGCAGTGTGGCTGTGGCTGAAGCTCGAGCTGCAAAGTAAATGAACTCATTATACTTTGATGAGTCATGTTCCAAGCTGCCTTTATCGCAGTGAAGTGTTAACCTGGAATAAGTTGTTAGAGTTCATTACTACGCTAAAAATGTCTTTTTAGTAATACTTTTTAAATATTACCAGGCTATAGTAGTTATTTTTGAAAGCAGTTCAAAATAATAACCAGAAAATTTTAATCTGTCCAGTTGTGTCTTGATATAACTTTATTTTTATTCATTTATTTTTTTTAGTCCTGAACCTCAAACTTCAGCCCCACCCAGACCCCTGGAAATGGAAATGGAGATGGAGATCTTCGATGATGAGGAGAAAGATGCAGTCTGGTCTTACCCCACATGTCCTGATGTGGAGGAATGCAGGCTGGGTCTTCATAACTGTCATCCCTTTGCTACGTGTATCAACACTCCCACCTCGTACGAGTGTCACTGTGAGAGAGGATACACCGGCGACGGCACGCTGCACTGCAACCAGACGTAAGAGTTCTGTTTAAACATAGTTTTGTTTTCTTTTTTTCTTTATCTCAATCTGATGGGTTTGGTATTTATATGATTTAAATTATGATTGAGTTTGCAAATCTAATTTCAAATCAAATTTTTCCGCTTTCCCAGCTGTTATAATGAATGCCGTGAGGGCCAGTGTAGCGGCAGCCCACGGTTTGAGTGTGAATGTTCTCTGGGCTGGACGTCCGACCCTGCCACGCTGGTTCTGAGTGGTGTTGAATGCGACGTAGACTGTGGCTGCAACTTCCACTCCACCTGTATCACTGCGCCTGGGATCTGTGATGAATGCCAGGGTGAGGCCATTATTTAGCTCATTCTATGTCTTAAACAGTTGCCAGTATTTTCCTGGCAACTTTTCAGTGTGTTCACACTTTGTTCACAGTTGTTTGCTTGTCTTTCAGACTGGACTACAGGCCCTCACTGTGAACACTGCCGTCCAGGGAGCTTCGGCTCCGCCCTGGCTGGAGGTGGCGGCTGCGTTCCTTGTGAGTGTAACGGACATGGCGACCCGCTCCAAGGCTACTGTCACAACCTGACAGGCCAGTGCTACTGCACCCACAACACTCAGGGGCCGCACTGTGAGTCCTGCCTTCCTGGGTACTATGGAGACCCTCGGTAAGAATCATTTACTTTTCATCTCTTTGTCTAAACAAAACCAATTTCATGGGATAAATACAAACTCGGCTAAATGAATATTCCCACAAACAGGAACAACGGCACATGTTACCGTCAGTGCCAGGGCCGCTCCGTCCTGTTGTCCTCCACCTCTTCCTCAACCATCCCCTTGTCTTCGTCTTTGGGATGGCGAAGTGGCACAGAAGGGAAAGGAGGACTTTCTCACTGTCTTTGGGTCTTATCTGTCACTGAGAAGCTTGGACCTTGCAAGCCCAAACAGCTCTGCCCCCCAGTAGCGCTCACGTTACACCCAGACTCCCACACTTACTGTAAAGTGAGAACCAGTGTTACTTTGTTATTAATCCACTCATGGATTAATAATTAATAATGACATTTTTGAGCTGCTGTGACATTAACTTGTGTCTTTTTAAAACATGTGCGTTATTTTGCAGAATTCTTACGTTTACGTGTTCGATGGCCTCCCTCGTTTTCTGCCCAATGGAGTCGTGCGTTCTGATCATAACCTCATTGGAGCGTTTTGCGGAACAACAAGGACTCAGCCAATCACAGTCGAGGCCACCTCAGGTAAATGTTACTCATCCCTTTTAGTGTCTAATTTTGAGTCTAATTTTGAGTAGGCACCCAATGCACCTTCAGACTTCACAACGTTGCTTGTTTATGAACACTAGGTGTGATCTCAGTCTACTTTGAAGCCAACGTCTCTTCAAACAAACCTCAAGGCTTCAATGCGTCTTTCTGGGTGCGACGTTGTCAGCAGAGCTCTGATGAGGATGAAGAGGGGTCCGCTGTGTGTGCAGGTGGAGCCCAGTGTCAGGGTGGGCTCTGCCGGTGTCCTCAAGGATCTGGGGGGCCGTACTGTGACCGACCCATGTGTCCCCAGGATTGTGGAGCAACAGAAGAAAGAGGAGTTTGTAATGTAGTAAGTTTCCTGGTGGGAACATTTTATTTTAACTTAATTAACTTTGGAGAACTGGACTAAATTTTGTTTTTACAGTTTAGATGTAGACAGTTTTGTTTCTATGTTACCATGTGAACAAATAAACTTGTTCACATTAGTCCTTGTGGATATCTAACTATCCTTATTTGCTGTACTTTAGTCTCTGGGAGTTTGTGTGTGTTCGGAAAGCTGGTCCGGCTCTGACTGCTCAGTTCTGCGGGATCCCAACAGCTTGACTTGGGAGACTCTGTTGGACACACAACTGACAATGGTAGGTCCTAAAACAAATATGATCAAAATATGTTACATTTCCAATTGGAGCAGTTCATGAATTACAAATCTATTCTGACATTCAAGCACTTCCGTTTTACAGAAACAGGCCCATAGGTTCCTGCACAGGATGGGACACTCTCTGGTAGCTGGACCTCAGGGTAACCTGTGGATGTACGGGGGGCTTTCTCTGTCAGACGGCATTCTTGGCAATGTGTACAGGTGGGATGGAATAACCTGAGATAAAATCGCAGAACTCAGAGAGGCTTAATGTTTGACTTTTTTAGGTGCTTTCTTTCCTGTCCAGTTTGTCTGTATAACAGCAAGTCCCCCTCTGTCTGGTGTAGATATTCTTTGTCGGAGCATCGTTGGACCCAGATGTTGACCAGTTCTGTAGATGACTCGGCGACTCCTAGCGCTCGCTATCACCATGCTGCTGCGCTGCTTAACACTTATGATCTGGACTCTGGAAGCCATGACGGTGGTCACAGCCTAATGTTAGTGGTAGGCGGTATCACTCAAAGTGGTGTTGCCATGGATACCTGGAGTCTCAATCTCAGCAGCTTGGTCTGGAGAGAACACAAGGTTAGCGGTTGTTTTATCATGGATTTAGAATATTTCTTTGTGCGGGGAACAAAAATGTCTAAATGAAATCCAATGTTGACCCCTGTCTGACAGAGCTCAGTGCTGCCCCCGGTGGCCGGTCACACTTTAACTGTACGTTGGGACTCCTCGGTTCTCCTGATCGGAGGCTACTCTCCTGAAAACGGTTTCAACCATCATCTGTTGGAGTTCAACCCTGATTCAGGGAACTGGACAATTGTCCCCCACACCGGAACCCCACCCACAGGTTTCATAGCTGTTATTTTTTCACATTAAATAACCATACATCCACTGATGAACCTTCCGTTTAAAATCTCAAAAGGCTCTTGTTATGAAAATGTATAGAATAGTCAAGGGAAATGTAGATGGATGTTGCTAATGTGTTTTTTTGCTCAGAAATCTGATGCTACACATTCCCTTTTGTCAGGTTTGTATGGCCACTCAGCTGTGTATCATGAGCAGACTGATGCCATCTACGTGTTTGGAGGCTATCGCTTTCATGTGGAGACAGTGGAGCCGTCAGGCGAGCTCTACAGCCTGTATTACCCCAACCTGACCTGGTCTCTCCTGGTTCCCTCACAGGGGAAAAAGGTAACAAGTTAGCCTTGTTTTTATGTTTTTATATGCGATTTGACCACCTCATGCAGTGCTGATGTATTATCTGTTTGCTTTACAGCCCCTGTCCCGTTTCTTCCACGCTGCTGCGCTGATCAAAGACACCATGGTGATTGTAGGGGGGAGGACAGAAGCAGAAGACTACAGTAATTCTGTGTCTCTGTACCAGATCAACTGCAACACCTGGATACATCCTGGTGATTCTCTTAATATTAAGCTGCTGCTTCATTTCAAAATATAATATTCTATCGACTAATAGTTTTTCATTTGTCATTCAGTTTCAGTTGTTGGAGATCCAGTCAATCGCTCTGTGTCTCTCGCGATGACAACCTGGGGTGGTCGTCTTTTCCTATCTGGTGGCTTCAATGGTGTCACGCTGGGTAGACTCCTTACTCTGACCGTGCCCTCTGACCCCTGTGCCGTCCTGCCCACACCAGAGGCTTGCAACACCACCACAGGCAGCTGTGTGTGGTGTAGGGGTACCTGCACTTCTTCTGATGCTGCAGAGAGGTAACACAGACTATAAACCAAGCTTGAAATTATCTGCAGCTACTATAATTAATGCAGCATGCCTGAAACATTAATTGTCCCCAGAATTGGCTGCCTGTTGGGACATTCCACCTGCTCCCCGACTCCTCGTCTGCCAGATCAGTGCCGCAGACTTAAGACCTGTAGCGAATGCCTTGCTCGGCATCCCAAGACTTTTTCCAGTCCGCCTCAGGTATCATACTTTATTTTACAGAATCTGATTAACAAAACATTCAGGAAACTAAAATCATTTTTTTTATTTTTCCAGTCTGCTTTACAGTGTAAGTGGTGCACAAACTGTCCAGAAGGGGCTTGCATCAGTAGCTCTGTCAGCTGTACATCGGAACATGACTGTCGCATCAACCAGAGAGAGATTTTCCTGTCCAGCAACTGCACTGAGACCAGCTGCGAGGCTTCAGACTGCCCTAAGTGTACGGCTTCTGGAAAATGCATGTGGACTCGCCAGTTCAAACGCACAGGTACACAAGCTTCATTTGACAGAAATCGCTATTTTATTTAATAGCTGTTAAACTACTGTATGCAGTAGCAGCTGTTAATATAAGCTAATTCCCAAGGGCATCTTGGTTTGAAGATGGTCTAAGCACTGGGTGGGAAAAAACTTATTAGTTGCACTTGTAACTTTTTTCTGTTGCTTTTTTGATTGTGGAATCAATGGTGAATTGGCATGAGCTACATTATGTGAAGAACTTAAAAAAAAATCAGCTATACTCTCTGGGTTGCTGTTGACATTCAAGTTTCTGACTAACAGAACCAGTAATAATTAAAAAGTCACTTTTATAAGGAGGGTTTAAAAACTAAGTGTCAATTATGCCAGAACCAGGGGTATTCAAAGTGCAGTTTGTGAGCCATTTAACATTTCAGATTGTTGTAATAATATTTTACATCTCTGGCTGCAGTTTAAGAATGGTAATAAATGGCCACTTTAAATTTCTTTGGGTGGTAAGAAATTCACAGAATAAAATCTTTATTTTCTTTATTTTACTTATTTGACTAAAATCAGGCTACCTTCTTATTGTTAAAATATTGAATGTTTGTATATATGTAGAATAATAAAAAGAAATGTTTGCATTTTTGATTTAAAAAATGTTTAAATAAGAAAAGTTTATTTTTGCAAGCAGTCTATACATTTAACATAAATTTAGCCCACATGGCAAATCATATGAACTCCTCTGATTTAAACCCCTCGAACCTCTATTAATGTTTCAATACTAACATATTTTGTGGAAGTAATAAGAAAGGTCTTACATATCTCTTTTTTTTCTTTTTTTGAAAGTACAAAAGTCATTCAGACTTGTGATACATTGACTTATTCTACATTGATTAGAGGTGCTTTTGAACACTGGTTTGTTAAACCTTTATTTGTTGAGGATATGAGGTTCCACATGTATAGCTGAATATTTGTAATTAATTCAGATTTAAGGCATTTATGTTTATGTTCTACCAAATCACTGAATGCAGTGTGTTCCTCCTTCAGGTGAAACAAGACGAATCCTGAGTGTGAACCCCACTTACGACTGGACGTGTTTCAGCTATGCGCTGCTCAACGTCTCCCCCATGCAGGTGGAGTCATCTCCGCCTCTCCCATGCCCTCCTCCATGTCACACTCTGCATAACTGCAGCCTCTGTCTGGGCTCTAGGGGCTCTGATGGGGGCTGGCAGCACTGTTTGTGGAGTATGGCGCTGCAGCAGGTAAAATCTAACAGCTTTACCTTTCTTTGATTGTGTTGAAATAATCCTAATATTCAACAAAACCGTCTTTCTATGTTTCAGTGCATGAGTCCATCTTTTGTGCCTCTTCGTTGTGAAGCGGGCCAGTGTGGCCGGCTTCTCTCTGGGGGAGACTCCTGCTCTCCAAAGTGCTCCCAGCTCACCCAGTGCTCCCAGTGCATCACCAGGCCTCAGTGTGGCTGGTGTGCTTCTGGGGGAGGCAATGGAGCTGGGCGCTGCTTACAGGGAGGAGTTGATGGTGAGAATAATTTTCAGTTGAAGAATTCAAAAAGCAATCTTTCAAGATGTTACAAAATAAGTAATGTTCAATGCAGTTTGCCTAACTGTTACTAGTGATCTCATTCCAGGTGTGAGTGAGGGTGTTTGCCCCATGAGAAACAGCACTTGGTCTTTCCTGCATTGTCCAGAGGAGGATGAGTGTGCCAACGGTCATCACCATTGCAACAGCACTCAGGACTGCCACGACTTACCTGAGGGCTACCACTGCACGTGCAAGCAGGGTTACATACTTAATGGGTAATGAACAGCTGTCAGTAAAGCTGCTGTCTCATTGTTTTTATCTTATGTGTGACAGCTTTTCTAAAAATGTATTTTTGCTCAACTTAATACATACATAGAAATACTTAGTAACCCTGAACAGGAGCACCTGGCTTATGGTTACATACTTATGGTTACATACTTTAGATCAACATTAGATTTCTTTTCTTATTTTGCTGTTTCCTTTGGTATGTTATTTTGTTTGTATTTCCTTTTAATTCCTGTAAAGCACTTTGTATTGCCTTGTTGCTGAAAATGGGTAACAATATATAAATAAAATTACCTTTACATAAAATGCACATTGTGAAACATCAAATCCTCCTATCTCAAATAAATATACAATATATTTCACATATGGCATGCCTCTGTTTTATGAAATATGCATGTCTTTGGATGTACAATATGAATGAGAAAATATGTCAGGCTGTCCTGCTGTTGGCACTAGTTCAAGGATTTGGTGTGCAGAGGTGAGAGTATTCATCAGTGCAGCATGACATTAACTTCAGGTTATAGGCTACCATACCTTGCCTTGTCGTAACCTTATATATTTAACCATATCTCAATCTCTTGTGTTTTTTCCCTTCAGGGTTTCTGGTCAGTGTGAGCCGGTGTGCGCACAGGGCTGCGTTAACGGGACCTGCGTGTCCCCGGGGGTTTGCCAGTGCCACTTTGGCTTTGTTGGGGATAACTGTTCTTCTGAGTGCAAATGCAATAAGCACAGCAACTGCACCAGCGTTGACAAACCTGATATTTGTCTGGAGTGCCACAATAACACTCAAGTAAGTGTTAATAAAAGTCTGACATCTACACACTGTCATTTTTTTATTTTTATTTTTTATGATCAGTAATGATCAATATTTTTCTTGCCTAAATTTCAGGGTATTCACTGCGAGAAATGCAAGCCTCTGTTTGTAGGCTCGGCAGTAGACGGTGGCAGCTGTCGTCCATGTCGTGACTTTTGCCGGGGAAACGGCATGGTATGTCTGTCCCGGGATCAATATAATAAAGCCCTTGAGAACCCTCATCACTTCCCTGTAGATGCCGTTGAGGTATGTTTCTGAAACTCTCCTGTCTTTTTTCTCAGTCTCTGAAAACAAATACACCAATAAGTGTTCTTACTTTTTCCTTCTCTTTGTATCCTTGAATCAAATTCAGAAATGGGTGTTTGAAGGTCCCACAGAAAATAATGCTGTGTGTGTGAATTGCCAAAACAACAGTGTTGGGGACAAGTGTGAAGGCTGCCGTCGTGGCTACTTCTTACTGAATGGGAAGTGTGAAAAGTGAGTACTGCTTGGTGCTCAAAAGACAATAGATTCACTTTTTATTACCATTAAAAAACCTCTTTCACCCCATGCTCGGAAAAAGTATTCATAGCTTTTTTAATCACATTTTCCACAAAGTTCAATAGATTTTATTAAAATTTCATGTTACAGACCAAGACAAAGTTGCTAATGACTGAAGTAAAATGTAACCCATAGTTTACAAACTTTTATTGGGGATAAAAGAATTTCTGCCTTCCTGAAGAACACTTCTTTGAAAGTCTTAATAATCTATCATTCACCTGTTTTATGATGCAGTTTACGCTCTGTTGTTTCCTTTATAGAACAGCTTAGATCACACCACATAAAAAATGTGTAATCAAGTAGCATCAAAAGGAAGTAGTTTCATGTATAATTTTTCTTTATGTATTAATTTGGAATGTAAAATCACAGTGATAGAGTATGACAGCATGACAACTTCTAAAAAACTTCAAGGGTGTTCATACTTTTACAAGGCACTCTTTAAGAAGTTTTGTTATCCATTAGAAAACATATAAGTCACGTCTCACTGTTATTATTGGTGAGTGTAATGCTGGGCCTGTCAAACATGAACATAACCTACAATGCATAAAACAGTAATTTGGGATTTCTTCAAAGCAATTTGTGGTGTTTTTCTATCTGGATTAGATGCAACCAAAAAGCTACCAAGGCAGCAGAAATCTTCTTGTGCCTAAAGACAGAAAGCTGACATGCATATGTAAAAAACAAAGAATATTTGCTCCTTTATAAATGCTATTTGTTGCAAATGTTTTCTTTTTATTGCAGATGTCAGTGTAATGGCCATGCCGACACATGTGAGCCCGATGGTAGTGGTTGCCCATGCCAAAACAACACAGAGACCTCGTCCTGCCTGAGCAGCCCTCAGAATGATCGAAAAGATTGTTACAGGCAACAAGTACGACAAATATGTTTTTGTACAAGAAGATGGAGATCTATGTCACATCTGTCCTTTTTCTGCTGTTACTGTTTATTTTTTTCTCACATTTTGTCTCGCTCTCCCATTTAGTGTGCCAAATGCAAAGACTCCTTCAACGGGAACCCAGTGAACGGGCGCCAGTGCTACCGACAGTTTAACGTGGACTCGGAGTTCTGCTTTGACCCCACGTCCCAAACAAACTGCTTCCATGACCCCACCATTCGCAACCTGCCCAAGGATCGCACCGTGTTCTTTGCTGCTCAGCCAAAGTTTACAAATGTGGACATCCGGGTCACGATTGATGTTACCTTTGGAGAAGTGGAGGTTTATGTCTCCAACTCGCACGACACCTTTATTGTAGACGTGGACCGTTACACGGGGATTCACACTATTAAGATAGAGGACGAGTCAGCAAGTCGAGGGACAGCTGCAGGGGCAGATAAAGATTCTCCTCCCTCCCCTATAAAAGTCTTCGCCAACGCCTCGTCCAACCTGGGAGGTCCCGTGCTCTCCCACAATCCCCTGCAGCTGCAAGCCAAACAGCCGGGAGCAGAGAGAGAGATCAGAGAGGAGCGAGCTGAGGGACTCATCTCCTACATCACCGTGTGGAAGCCTCAGACGGTGCTGATCGTCCGAAGAGTTCGGGACCGCGTGGTCATCACCTTTCCCCATGAGGTGCACTCTCTGAAATCCAGCCGCTTTTACATCGCTCTCAGAGGCGTGGGAACAGATGATAGACAGGGCGAGTCCCAGGGGCTGCTGTTTGTGCGACAGGACCAGGCCCACATAGACCTCTTCGTCTTCTTCTCCGTCTTCTTCTCCTGCTTTTTCCTCTTTCTGTCTGTGTGTGTCTTGTTGTGGAAGGTCAAGCAGTTCCTGGACTTCCGTCGGGAGCAGCGTCGCCACATTCAGGAGATGACCAAAATGGCTTCCAGACCCTTCGCTAAACTCACCATTTACCTTGAACCGGAGGAGCCTCAGCTCATCTACCTACCTACAGCGGGTGGCGGGGTGGGGGGCAGCACCGTATCTATCGCTCACGCCCGCACGGGCAAGTTAAGCGGCGTGGTGGTGGGCCAGAGGGGCAGAGCGGGACCGGTCTATAAACACGACCCAGGCTCCGGACCTACAGCACACCACCACCATCATCATCACCTCACCTTGAGTGGGGGAGGCAACAGCGGACAGCATCTACCACTGCACTACTTAAACACCCATCATTACGCCAGCACCACTGCAGGCACCCAGTCCTCCCATCATCACCATCCATCTACATACTCTGGCTACCAGCAGTTCTGCCGCTCTGATCCTTTCCTCTCACAGCTCATGGGCTTCTCCTACTCCTCCTTCAAGGTGGGGCCCATAACCCTAGAGCCCACAGAGGACGGTATGGCCGGGGTAGCCACCGTCCTGTTCCAGCTGCCTGGCGGTGTCTTGGCACCAAATCGTGCCTGTTTAGGCTCTGCACTAGTTACCCTGCGCCAAAATCTGCAGGAATACTGCGGCCATGGCAGTGGAGGCGGCCACCCAGGGGCGGGCGCAGGCCGCAAGGGTCTGCATCAGCACCTGACCACCATGGCAATGTAGGAACGCAATCAGCAAATAAGGAGGGAGATAAAGACAGATGTGGAAAGCCTGTAAAGTGTTTGGAATATTATCAATTACTTTTTTTGAAAGCATCTTAGCTGAAAGACAAAGTCCAAAAGAAAGTTACTGTACCGCCAGTAAAATGAGCTTTTTGAACAGAAATGTACATACACTGTATAATGAATTAAGTGTCTTATATTGTGTGATGTATTGCTCTACAATATTTCAGTGCTTCACATGACCAAGTCAGCTGTCTCTGCAATGCACTACAACTGCTACTCTACTAAATAATATTTGGGTGTCCAATCCCTAATGAGGTAGGACCACACTACAGGTGAACTCTGATTAAAAGTTATTCACCAAAAAACAGGTGTAAAAGGCAATTTAGGTCAAAATACACGCTTTGGAACCAACATGTGCTTTATGCATTAAAAAGGTGACAATCAGACAGTGTTAAATTTTATTGCAAAAACACTAAAATTGGTACAAGACAATGTGCATCATATTAATTGTCAGCCCAGTGTAGAAACCGTGTTGCTTGTGAGGCGGTTACTTTATCAGTCAATATTAGTGATTTCTAACTAACTCGATATGTGGCAGACTTGTCAGCTACCTGTTTCTGTTAAACTCTTGGGTATGGTTTTGCATATTCATTCACCTTTTCTGTTGCTTTTCGTCTTATCTGCCTTCACTTTATGCCTTTTCTGCGAGTCAGCTGGCTTACACTTGAAACTTTTGCGGTAAACGTGTCTGGTGCAGCTCCTGGAGAAAGTTAAATAATATTCTATATTTCATGTCTTGTTTTGTTCTTTTAAAGAGATGACAAGGTAATGTGTTCCACATTGGTATTCTGTTCTGTCTCTAAATTTATTTATCAAACGCCACAGTATTAGTCCATAACAATGGCAAAATTATGCTTTTGAAGCCATTGTTTTGCTTTCAAGATGTTAGTCTGACTGGTTACACAGAATGATTGTAATTGCTAACAATAACTAGTTTAAAAATGTATCTGTTAAGAACTTTGAGAAGGTATGAGTGCATTTTAAGACTGAACCACTGTTGTGTTGGCACAGATTTACTTTTCTTTCCGTTTCTTTCTTTGCACTGCATGGATCCAGCAGCCTCCTGACCAACATTACTCCATTCTTCATTAACATGTGGTAAATAAATGAACTGGCTGTGAGGCTTCTGGATTCTTACCAGATTAAGAAAAAAATAATTCTTCCATCAATTGCAAAATAGTGAAGCAAACGTTATTAATAGGGGCCCTCTGCAAATAAGCTTTCGTCTTGTAACTTTGTGCATGAATTGATTTTTGTTTACATGCTTTATTTTTGTACATAACTTATGTTGTATTTGTTCTTTTGTTTTCAAAGAAAGGGAACAGTATTGTGAAAAAAGACTGAGTAAAGATTCAGCATCCCGAGTCAGCTGAAATAAAGTTTCTGGAACATGGCTGCATTTTGTCTTTATTGCACCAAATATTTAGATCCAAGTGACTATTCAAAAAAATGTTTTGTTTTTTAATTTGTTACAAATAAAACTCTGAAACTGTGGCATGCATTTATCTTTAGCTAACCCCTTAAGATTAAACTTTGCAGAACCATCTTTTTCTTATGTTATAGATCCAAGTCTATAGTTTGTTTTTACCAGCTCTGTATTTTGCCTATTCCTCTTCTCGCTCACAATTGCACTTCGGTCCAGACTTTAACTAAGCCATTCCATCACAAGAATATGCTTCGATTTAAACAGTCAGGGGTCAAAGTCACGCGAGGAGAATGTGAAGCTCAACTTCACGTCCTGCAATCTGAAAGTTTTGGGCTGAATTCCAGCTTCTTGTCTCCCGTTGATGATTATATTTTACTGGTTGGCTTTTGGAAGTTGCTCTTATTTTAGGGGTATGAGAGGTATTAATAATATTAATACATGCCACACTTATTTTTGAAAACCATGTAGAAAAGGAAAAACATTCTTTTCATGTTTTCTGGCACGTTTGGTTTTACTTCCATTACTTCCTATCCTACATTTTTGCTGTGTCCTTCCCTGGATGGATGGATGGATGGATGGAAGGATGGATGGATGGATGGATGGATGGATGGATGGATGGATGGATGGATGGATGGATGGATGGATGGATGGATGGATGGATGGATGGATGGATGGATGGATGGATGGATAGATAGATAGATAGATAGATAGATAGATAGATAGATAGATAGATAGATAGATAGAGGGATGCATTGTCTCTTTAATTAGACTGGTAGCGCTCATTGGCCTGACCTGTTTGGTCACAAAGGAAGTAGCTGCAGCTCTTCCTGTGTTGCTGCTATGTATTCGCTGCTCGCTTTAACACTAATGTAACCTATAAGCGGTGGGGACCAGATCGTATAACCTCAAAAAAAGGGACTCTCCTTAATCCTTATTTATTTAGAGCTGAGAAAACGCAGACCGCAGTGGCAGCCACAACAAAGCTGTGCCACTGCGGTTAATTCACTGATTGTGTAGCTTAGCTCTGATGCTAACGATTGCTAACAAATCAAAGCAGCCAACGACTGCGCTTGTTTACAGTTTCATTTAGCCTATTCTTTTCTCTTTTTTTCTTTTTTTTTTGCATGTAACTGTCCTTGTTTCTACGGGCAATCACTACGAAGATAAAATGAGATGCTTTTGGTGCTAAAAAGAAGATGAAGTCTGCCGTGACGACAGAGATGGAAGAAGAAGAGTACAATGTAATCACAGTCAAAAAAGAGTCTGACTCAGAGCAGCAGACCTCATCCGCTGAGGAAGATGAAGACTCCAATGAAGAACACACGACTAACGGGTGCGACCTGATCGTTTTAATAAAGGAGGAACCTCATCTGCTGGAGATCGGTGAGGATTTCTGCGAGGACACATCGAGCTGTTTGGACAACGAGCCTGACAATGTCAGCGACGGTTACCAACCAGAGGGACACGTCAAAGTTGAGTCTGACTCTGACCTCCCCTTTGATTGCGACTCCGATGGAGCTCCTGTCAAGGAGGAGACAGAGTCATGGTTTAAGGAGGAGAGGGACAATGAAGAGGAGGATGAAGAGGAAGAAGAAGACGACGATCCGGGGAACATCCAGGAGGAGTTTGAGGAGGGAGAGGGGGTCTGCACAGGTACAACAATGTCACTGAAAAAGAGATATACTCTTGTTGCAGGTTGCCAATAAAATCTGAAGCGCCTTGCAAAATTATTCACACTCCACAATAAAATTGAGACTGAAATTTTATGTAGTAAACCAATGCAGAGCTGGAAGCCCTCAATCTAATATTTGAAAGTTTTTACCAATGAAAAAATATGGTGTGGATTTATATTTGCTTTGTGTCTGAATGGGCGTCAACGTAACAAGCAGAAGCTAACACAGCAAAGAAAATTGCAGGACTGATTTGATAACCTTCAATTAACTGTGTGATGGTGTGTTAAAGGTGCATTATTAGTTTTTCTCCACTCACAAAGGACGTGTTTCTGGTACTTTCCCACCTGAGCTGTAGTCATCTGCAGCTCCTCCCCATTTAACAGGGGGTCTGTGGGATGCTTCTCTGATGAGAACTTTACCTAACCAGTCAGAGTGGGCAACAGGGTGGTGGTACGTTTACAGTAAGGATGGGTGATTGATTGCTTTGTTTATTTGGGGGATAAACAATGTAAATTATGATGAAAATAAAATCTAAAACCTGACAGTTTGGATCATTTTTGTTGCTTGAAAATGTTTCTTTTAATGTTAGTTGCATAACACATCAATGAATAAGTACATTTTAAAATCAAATTGAATGGAATTATATGGAGTTTTTCCAATGAATGTAACTGGCATAAATGGATGAGTTTTATTTGTAGAAAAATATTTGTGATTTGACTATATGTGGCAGATACATAGCCACAAAGACTGATTAACTTTTAAAATGAAAATTGTTCCCTTCACCAGTGTCTTATGTAATAAAAGAGGCAAAATAAATATTTCTCCTACTTACCTCTTCATAATTATGCTTTACTTTTTGTCTTTCACATAAAACCCAGATCAAATACATTCAGGTTTTTGGTTATCAAATGACAAAAAGTCAAATAAAAATAAAAATGGAGTGTTAATTCTTTTGCAAGGCATTGTTGCAGGTTTTAATGATTACAGTTCTTCCACATGAGGATTTTACCTGTTTTTTCTAAAGTTGTTGGAAAGTATGAACAGAAAAAAAATTGTTTTTAATTTCCCATAAATATATGATTCATAAGAGGTAGATCCTTGGAAAACTTTTGGAAATTGTTAAATTACTGCAAAGTTCAACAATGTAGACACAAGACTTTAACAAACTAGTTCAACATAGTCTAATGAAAAAAAATGACATGAAGGAAAATGAAACAAATATGACTGAAATACAGCCAGAGAAAACATCTGTTATTCTGACATCCTTTGTTCAACCGTTATGGCCAGTTGTGCCATGTTTAGAGGTTTTGACCTTTACTGTAGGAAGAAAAACATTCAACAATTTTTTTCAGAGTGTACATTCAGATATCTTGTTTTAGTGGCATTAAGAGGTTATCAAATCCCCCCACCTCAGTATCATCACCAGTCGAAGTGAGCTTCCTGCTTGTGCTGAATGTGTCAGCACAGCCATGTGTCACAAGATTGAGGCCTGAGCACTTGAGGGGTCCCAGGAGTTTTCACTGCTGACATTAACAACTTTTTTTTTTAGCTTCTTTAGACATGGAGGGGGTCCAGATAAGGTCTATGGCTGGTTTTGTTGTGGCCCATGACTAGAATTACACAGCACTTCTTTATAGTACAGTTCAGCACTGCAGGTTCACAGTCAGTTCAATGGGTTGCAGTTGTTTTTCTATGATGGCAGCAGGTTAATATCTCAATAAAAACACCTAAAAGCTCATCAGTAAAGCTGTTTGTTGTGTAAGTTAAGTTCTTACCATCTCCTAGAGCTTCAGAAATACTTTACCCAGCTTCATTGCCAATATGTATTAGAACAACTCGAATCAAACATTGTATTTTTAACATGGTTTTTCATACAGTACCCCATTCCTTCCCTGACTTGGTTTGAAATTTAAAATATCTACCAAAAATAGTAAAATCCTTTATTTATTTATTTATTTTATGATGTTTTTAGGATGCATATTTAAAAAATGCCAAGAAAATCCTACTTATATAGCTGAACTTTGTTTTGGATTTGTTAGATTCACTAGAAATAATATATAATGTCAGCACATTTTGCAAAATAATTATCTCAGCTGCATTATTTTTGATATTACAGATATAAAACACTTTTGTTGTTTGTTTTTTTTGTCAAACGGAAATGTCTCAGATCAAAGATACATTTAGTAAGCTATAATTTTAGTTGCAAAGGCAAAAAAGCTCTTGAATACACTGAGAACCAGCACCTAGTGTATGTCTGCAGGCAATAAGGATTTCCTGTATTATTTCCTTATTTCCTGCAATAAACTGAAGATATATAGTGAGTTCTGGTTTTCAGTTTCCTTTTTGGTTTTCTCTCAATTCATCATATAACTCACGTTCCTGTCTGTGTTTGTCTCTCCCTAGAGCTGTCTTCTGAGTTTTTCCCATGTCCCCACTGCACTGTCTCCTTTACTGACTTGGATTATTTAGAGAAACATGTGAAGTGGGTCCATCAGAAAGAGTATCTTGCTAACCTCAAAAAGAGCCTTCCAAACCACACCCTAAGCTTCAACCTGAAACACACCTGCTCCATCTGCAGCTGCAACTTTAAATCTAAAGTCCACCTCAGCATCCACATGCGTGAGGCCCACCCCTCTGCTCCCCCCCGCAGGCTTCATCCATGTCCGACGTGTGCGCGTAGCTTCCAGTACCTGAAGAACCTGAAGAACCACTGCACCCGCTGGCACAACATGTCTGTAGTTATCCGAGGGGGTCACCTCAGTTGCGCCGATTGCGGGAAGAGTTTCAAGGCCACGTGGGGTCAAGGTCGCCATATGTGTCATGAACCAAACGTTGAATCTGAGGATAAGCCGATCTGTCTAGATACCGGCTTGCCTTGTCCGGAGTGTGGCAAGAAGCTGCGCACACCCCAGAGTTTGGGGGACCACATGCGGACCCACACAGGGGACCGGCCGTTTGTCTGCAAGGACTGCGGGAGGAGGTTTGGTGAGCGCAGCAGCTGGCGCCAACACATGAAAATACACCTCGGTGACAAGCCGTTTAAATGTGATGTCTGTGGCAAGGCGTTCATAAGATCACATCACCTTAAATCTCACTTAACTACACACTCGGGGAAGAAGGAGTACTCCTGCCCTGAATGTGGGAAGGAATTTGGATTTAAGTCAAGCCTTGATCTTCATGTGAGGACACATTCCAGTGAGAGGCCTTTCCACTGCAGCATGTGTGGAAAGAGCTTTAACACTAGGAGAAACCTGAGGGTTCACTCCAAGCTTCACAACAACGAGAAAGCTCACCAGTGTGGGGAGTGTGGGCTGGAAATCAGAGATCTGGGAGCTTTAAAAGTCCACCTACGGACACACACTGGAGAGAGGCCTTACCACTGCACAGTGTGCGGCAACAGGTTCATTCGCCTCTCGCATCTGAGAAACCACCAACGCACCCACACTGGCGAGAGACCCTACAAATGCACTGAGTGCGACAAGAGTTTCATTCAGTCTGGTGACTTGGTGAAGCACAAAAGGATCCACTCTGGGGAGAAACCCTTCGAATGTCCAGAGTGCCACCGCTGCTATACTTCCTCCGGTGACCTGGGCAAGCACAGGAGGAGTCACACTAATCTGCGGCCCTACACATGCAAAGACTGCGGCAAAAGCTTCCGTTTGTCGGGTCATTTGAAAACGCACATGTTAACCCACACGGGGGAAAAGCCGTACTCTTGCCCCAACTGCCTCCGTAGGTTTGCACGCTCTCACCACCTTTCTGGGCATGTTGCTAAATGTCGCTGAGCTCTTATGAGATGATCATGATATGAGCTGCACACAATCTAACACTAGATTTTGATAAATGTGAGAAAGATTTAACTTGTTTTTAAGTAATTATTTATTAAACGCTGTAAGACTGAAAACTCTAGAGATAATTTAAATAACTAACCCCAATGCATGACACTTTTCACAGAACTGCCTCAAGCCTTGTCTGTTCTTTGTCCTGACTAGTTCTGAAGATGTTTTGTAAGACACTATTTTAAAAAGACTTGTGGAAAAAGAGCTCTATAGGATGTTCAGATCGGTTGTTTTGTCAGTTGAAATATGTGTAAAGGTGAAATAAATTATTCATTAAATGCATGAACCCTGTGTCATTTTACTGCTTGACATTTGGATCCGCAAATAATTGTGGGAATCAACAGAAGCTTGTCTTTTCTAATTAGCTGAAAGAGAAGAGTCACATTAACAAAGGCAACACCCCTTTAAAGGCAAGCACAAGATTGTCATTGTTTGTTATTTTGTTGGCAATTTAACCACAAAGTGATTATGTTCACAGGTCATGTGTAAAACTAAAAAGTGCCATCAGCACCCTTGTGAAAAAGCCTTCAAGTAAATTAGTATTTCCTTGCAGCAATAGTGCATGTAGGTGCAAAGGAAAATGTATTTTTGGAAAAGGTTGGAAAAACATACCAATGGGAACTTACAAAGTTTTGCATAGTCATGGAGGTTTATATGCTTGGAGAGTGATTACTGAACCAAGGAGTTGGACTGACTGATTCCCAAAGTGGGAGCAGCTGGAGGACCCAACGAGGTTTGAGGTAAGAGAGGGAGACCGACAAAGGTTAACAACAGAATGAGCACTGGAAACAAAATGAGATCGGAGCAATAACAGAATGTAAGGATAACCCAAAATAATCTTTGTCTTACTTCCATGACAATCATCCTCATTGTATGTGGTGAAATGATAACATTTGGTCCTGTCACAGTCCTTCAGTCTTAAGCTTTTTACATCATCATTGACTGAAGATGTTAACTTTAGGAAAAAAGCCATTTCCTTGTAACTACTGACTCATCAAAAATACATTACATTTGAGGATTTTTTTTCCTATTTTGAAGAGTGAATAGAAAAACTATTTTTGTGTAATCTCCTATTTCTACTTTATCTACCCAGGAAGTCATGGATGCCTTCATAAATGTCGCCAAACACTGTTCTGTTTTAAAGAGGTAAAGTATACATTTTCATGCTTTACCCACTCTTCATTGGAATTAATATAGATGTCCCTAACTGTTGCATATGTGATGTTAAGTTGCTATTGATAACACATTAAATAAGAAAAGAAATCTTGTTTTTATGCCAAAAATAAAAAAACTTACTGTCAGTAATAGCTCTGCCTCATAAAATGTGTTGTTTTTCCCAAAATGTGTGTAAATAATGACACTCCAATTGTGTTGGGAAGCTATAATGTTATTTTAGATTTGCATTAACTTGTTCTTTATGAGCTGGTTGTGTGCACAAATCTAAAGGTGAGCAGCATATTTTATTCGTACTGTGAAAATAGCTGTTTTATGACAGTGTATTCTTTATTTTACTGTCAAATATTGTAAAAAGATTCAAAGGAGGCCTTGATTAGATATTTAAACTTCATCTTTCACACATGCACACAAATTCACACTGAATCTGCTTGAAAAACAAAATACAAATCGCGCTAAAAAAATTTATTTTAGATGAAACTCCATCCGTTTAGACAAAAACTCAATCTCAAAAGAATACATAGGAAACAATAAAGAGGAAAATTCATTTTTGATTTAGTGATTTTAATTCTTTCTAAAATGCTTTGTTTTGCTACTTTTTTATTCTTTGCATCTTTCACGCTTCCCTCCCTGTCCGGATTGGAATGCATACCTGCCTCGTTGGTCAGTAATCATTGGAAAACCTTACTAACGTTCATACACACACAGGATATGCATCACTTGGACAAGGCCTGCAACCAAACCTGTCTTAGTCAATTCAGTGGGAATTGCTCTATTATTTTTATGTCCGCAATTACAGCTACAGAGCAGTAACTACGACTCCGGCACAGATAACAAAGATATATTTAGGAGTAAATAATATTGACTGTACCTTTGTTTAAAGCTGGAATCAATACTTCTTAAAGTGTGTCCATTTTTCATTTAGCCGCGTCATGTCTGTGCTGGGAGGAGGGGCGGGGAGATGAATGGGTGGATTCTCTAATTCCCCCCGTTGCAGTTATCATAATTGTTGAACAACCACGGTTTTTAAAGATCGGGCTCAGGGAGAGGCAGGCCACACAAAGAAAGTTAATAGATTTGGAAAATTGAGATGGATTGCTCAGAAGCCAGTTTCGGAGCGTTCCAGTGGCGTGGCAGGCAGATGGACAAATATGATCCAGGGATGAGGAGGGGGGGAGGGTGCTGGGGTGCACAAAGTGGCAGAGAGGGATTTCTGGTAAATACAGGGACATCTCAATAAATTAGAACATCATTAAAAGTTGATTTATTTAGGTACTTCAATTCAGAAAGTGAAACTCGTATATAAACTTAGCACAAACAGGAATGGAAGGTGTGTCTGGCTAATTATGCAGGTTGTAGTAATGCTTTTTGGCAATAAATCTTTTTCTGTTGAAAGTCCTGTTGATGTCCTTGAAATGGTGCCACATTTGGAAGCAAAAGTATCTGTGAGATAGAGCTGAGTTTGTGTACAGCTTGTTAAATGCTCCCTGTTGTCTTTTGATGGGTTGTATTACTGCAGTTTGAAGAAACAAAACATATTAGCACTTAAACAAGTCATTTGTTTAACGAACAGGGGTCTCAGATACCCATAGACAAACCACAGGCGCTGATTACCGTCTTGGTCTCACACTGCTGTAGGGGAGCATTGTGTTCTTGTGTCACATAACCAGAACCAAAGTATCACTTTTCTTGATTAACTACAAAACTCAACTGACCTAAACTCTACAGAGAACATGCAGAGGATTGTAAAAAGATATAATAACGCCAGACCCAACAATGTAGATGACCTCAAGGTCATTATAAAAGTAACTTTGGCTTCCTGAACGCCTCAGCAGAGACACAAGCTGATCATTCATGCCACCCCTGATTGAATTCGTCAGAATAAAACCTCAACTACTGAATGCAGAGCACAGTACATGAACCTAGTTTCCAGCTGGCCAAATTTCCATGTCAAAAATTATTTTATTTATGTGAAAAATTTCTGAGAAACAAAACGTTGAATTTCCTGTAGATGCAAGCAGAAATAAAGAGTGGAAATGAATTGTGTAATGAATCGCTGTGACAAAAGTTGCCTGATTCGAATGGCAGTAGTTCCTCTCTCAAGGCACCAGGGGGAAATGGAAAGCTGTGGAAGCGATGCTTCAGGGAATAGTAAACCTTAGGAAACATCTCTCACTCCAAAGTTAGACCTATGGAAGAGAATAAGCCTGCAGAGAGCACTGCATGTAGAAAACATGATCATGTCCCCTCATAAATAATACTCCTTTGGCTGTAATAGTGCATCCAGTGTGGGCCCTCTGACCCTCTCATTTGTCAGCTTTTAGGATGTTTCACAGCGTTTATTTGTCCACAGGGCCCTACATTTGTTTCCATCCGTTTTGATATCGGCCATTGTTTTCACATTTTCTCTGCTCCAAAGAAAATCTTCTCCCATATCCAATTTTCGCCTATGCTGAGTCCAATTTTCCCTAATAATCAGATGATTACGGTGTGATGTTTTCCTTCCCTCCCTTTTGGTGTTCCACTCTTTTTCCTATGCTGCTCCGATGCCCCTGCCATTCTCTTTCATTTGTCTTCGTGGAGTAAAGCACATGCTTGCTTGCATTATGTGAATGTTGGCTAAGGCTCTATCACAAATCCTCAACAAATCAGCATTACATTTACTTATCCTTCCTCATCTCAAAGAAAAGAAAACAGTCTGAGAATTAAATTATGGAGTCTTATAAAAGTCCAGTTGAGAGGATTTTCTTATCGTAATGTAATTCAAGCTATCCAATTTTCCTTGTATTTACTGTCTATATTTTGCCAATTTGGCAGGGGAACACATTGTGCGCGTTTGGCCCCTGGTGTCACCAGTGTCGTCACGCTACAGTGGTTTTGGTGTTAGCCGGCCTCCGAGGTCAGTGTGTGGGAAGAGACGGTGGCTCTACGGGGCTCATGCCCTGTCCCTTTGGACTCCTGCAGGTCCCACATCCACTCCTCTCATTCGCGGGAGAGGGGGGGTCAGCACACGGGTCAATACGTGCAGTTTGATGTGAGTGGGCGTAGATAAAACTGACAATTTTTTTATTTTTTTCTTTTGTCTTGTTATTTGGGAGGGCCCTCTGGTAAACCTGCCGCTTACTTCTCTCCCTCTCAAGCCCAAATGCCCCTAAAATCACAGCTCACACAAAGGAACAGGGAGAGAAAGTGTTGCTAAATTGTGCTACGCTGAGTGCTTGGAGTGGGCTGCCAAAGTTGCACATAAAAGGAGGGAAGGGAGCTGTTTATTCCACAATTAGTATCATTGCATTGACAGGTTGGTCAAGAGGTTCGGAAGATTTCTCTCTCTCCCTTAGCCAACTCAGACAAACTAAACTGGTCTGGACTTTTCCCACTCTGAGCCAGCTGAAAATCTTGGTGACTGCGGCCTCCCTCCTCCTCTTATCCCACAGTAACCTCTTGCTCTCTCTGTCTCTTTAGTGGAGGGATAGAGATGTGGAGGGCAAGAGAGACTGACAGTGTGTGCTCCCCTGCTCAGTAAATATGAACTGCAGCCAGCAGACAGACTCATTCATCACAGGGGAAAGAGAGGGAACGGAGGATGGAGAGGCACACAGAAAAGACTAAGAGAAATGTCCAAAAGACCAAAAGACGGAGCGAGAGACGGTGGTAGAGGAAAGGTGGGAGGAAGATAGGAAGCAGACGGAAAGAGGATGGACGAAGGGAAAGTGTTCTGGGTGAGAGGAGTGGGAAGAAGAAATAACAGGCTGAAAAAAAAAGGAGGGAGAGAGCCATGGATGATTGAAGGATATATATATAACGCAGGGTGGATGTGCATGAGGAAGAAAAATCTCAAAACACTGTACAATTGATGAAATATAGGGAGGGGCATTTTATATCTCATCACCCAGGGATCTTGTGTTGTGATCACTGGCCTTAAGCATCTTGTTTCAGCAGCAGTATTAGTTTTGCTGCCCTGCAGCCTGAATGTCTCCCACTGATGTGTCGCCTCGCTTATTTTGACCTTGAATATGCACTTCATGGGGATTGGTCTATAGGTGATATTTTTTTTGTTATTTTAATGCAAACATTTGTTCACTGTGTCAGTTAAGCTAAATTTAAGAAATTTAATAATA